TTCATAAAGTTGTCTACTTGTATGACACCATCCTCTTGTACTTTGAATGCTGAAAATACATTGGATTCAGTAGATAGAGTGGATTCAGCAGATAGAGTAGATTAAACAGGTAAGCTGTTGGAACTTGATACTGAGGCTTCTACAATTACAGACTCTAGCATTAGTGTTTTATTAACATCTTTAATGAATACTGTTTCATTATTGTCTCTAATGAATACTACTGTATTAAGTGTAGGTTGAGACAACATAGTAGTAGTAGTAGAAGTAGTAGCTGTTTGCCTATGCTTTTTCTTTCAAGCTTTCATTGTTTTGCTTGTTAGAGGATTTCAGCAGTCTTTTAACATATGCCTATACTTATTATAGTTGTAGCATTTAACTTTATTATAAGGCTTTGTTTTGCCTTTAGCTACACTTTTGCCTTTTGTTTGTAGGCTGTCTTGTTCAGTATCTTGTTTTGTTTGAGAGTACTGAGAATGATACTTAGTATATGTGTTTTGTAATTTGTGTATCAACTTAGCTAGCATTAGAATGTCTTTCTGAGCCACTATAACTGTTGGTAGTTGATTATAATAGGTAATCTGTCTGTCTAGCATTGTTACTACCCATCTATACTTATGAGGAGTAGTGAGGTTAATTGCTGAGATGTATGTATTGTTATTAGGGGCTTTATTATGTACAGACAACTACCTGTAGATTTGTTCAATGTTGTCTAATGTCTTATCAAACTGTAATACATGCCCTTTTACTGTAAACAATGTAGATATGTCTACAGTATGTGTCATTGTTGTTTGAATGTTGTATTGTTCAGAAAGCACCTTCATGAGACTTCTAACACTTGTATACATTGTAAAGTTTGTATAAATTGTATTAGTTATTGTTTTCATTATACAGTGATACAAAACATTGCCTGTACATATGCTAGCATCATTAGAGGAAGGGGGATTGTGCTCTAGATGGTTTAAGAGCATTATGGCAGCAAGTGCACTGTGTATACACAAGTACTATATCTTGTATCTCTTTATACTAGCCAACTTTTCTGTTCCCTTAAAGAACTTTATAATGTCAGAGTCCTTCATTATAGTGTTAACAAAGGTATGTATTGTAGACAACATCATAATGGGTTTGGGGGGAGAGGGAGGTCTTGGGCTTGGTGGTCTAGTAGGAGGCAAAGGTGTTCTGTAAGAGTAAGTGTGTAGAGGCATTCAATAGGCACTAAGGCTCATAACCTTTTAACAAGTGTAGTAGGAGTGCTCCAAGTACTCTCTCTTCTTAAGACATTAAGCAAGTGTCTACCTTATATACTATATAGTGAAGTCTGATACTCTGAGACATTCTAAGTACAGTAATTCTACATAAGGCAATTAGGGATTTCCTAATCTAGAGTGTAATCTAATAGATTAGAAGCTGTAGGAGGACATTGTCTGAGCTTATTATAACAATCTGACTGTAGAACATTTAGGCTAACACAAAACACAGGAACTCATTACTCAGAACTACTAGTAGCTAGGAATGTAGAGGGAAATCCTAAAGTATGTAACTGGTTATAATACATACTAACAGACTAAGGTCTACTAGACAAGGGTTCAGACTCTCTTACATCTGTATTAGATTCTAGATCACTCTTAGGAGGAAGTCTTAGTAGACCTGATTAGTAAGCTACCTGAGTCTTAGGGTTACAATACTATTTGTATGATTGTTAACTAATTCTCTAAGCAAGTCTATACAGTTCTAACCTAAACAGAACTCACTTCTGAAGGTATAGTGTGTATCTATTAGGATTATGTCTTCTAGTTGTATAGACTCCCTCAGAAGCTTATTCACAATTGTAGACTACAATTCAAGTCAAAATTCATACAGGACTTGTATGTACTTCTCAGAATTCAAGAGAATCCTTCTACTACATATTACTTATAGACTAATAGTTAAACTAAGTAAGTTAATCAGAAGATTAAACTCTATCTCTAAATGTTCATTAATTATTAGTAGTCAGACTAGTCTGAATAGTTAGCTCTGACAGAATTTGTACACAATAACTAGTAACACTCTATAATAGAACAGTCTCTGTTCTTCCTCAACTATGAGAGACATTTGTACTAGAGGACAGTTCTAAACCAGAACAGCAGTTCTGAATTTATAACAGACTTTGTAGAATAAATACACAAGACTAGAAAGGATATATAAGCTCTTTTAGAAAAGGTAGTATAGACTATAAAGCAGAACTATAATTAGAAGAGATCTGTAGCTAAGAATTACTAGCCTAGTAACAAAGTTATACTAGAGCTACTAATCTGACCTTAGATCACCTAATAAAGAAATTGGACAATAAGTACTTTAGACCCTTTATTATTAAAAAGAAGGTTAGTACCTCTACCTACAAACTCTAACTTCTAGCAACATAGAAGTACATACACTTAGTGTTTAACAAGGCTCTATTGTCTTAGTACTATGATCTAGGTTTTCCTTCACAACAAAGACCCTTACTACCTCTACCAGAACTTATTAGTTCTGAACTAGAATATAAAGTAGAGTACATAGTAGATACTAAGCTACTATACAGAAAACTCAAATTCCTTGTTTACTAGAAAGGGTACCTAGTTAAAGAGTACACTTAGAAACCTGTCAAGAACCTTACCTATACTCTTAAAGCAATCTAAGACTTTTATCAGCTTCATCCTAGTACTCTGTACAAACTCAGCCTTACAGATTTCCAAACCCTACTATTCTGACCTATACTCAAGTCACTAACTAAGCCTAATGTTTACTAATCAGGATGATTGGTTTTAGAGGAGGGGTGATGTTACAGTTCTTTACTCTTATACCTTTAGTTCTAAGGGTTCTACACTCTTCTATACTAGAACTTAGGACTTTTGTCCCTCAGAAGTACTGTTTATGAACTATATACATACTGACTCTTACTACTACTCCTCCTTACTTTATCATTCCATTCCTTTAACCACTCTTTCATTCTTTGTTCATTCTATAGTCTCTTACCCTTTGTCTATCCCTTCATTCTTTGTACCTTTATCTTTGACCTTCCTTTCTTTCATTCTTTATGACTTATCATTCTTAGTAGCTCATACTCTCTAAGTACTCTTGTATAGTTTAGTATATATAAGTATACAAGATCAGACTAGTCCTGTAGTCTTGATCTTGTCTACTCTAGGTAGTCCTGTACTCTTAGGCTTACTCTATATACTCTACTCTTGTCTCACTCTCTCTCTCTGTCTGTTCCACAAGTTCTAACTATGTTCTAGTACTCACATTCTGTATTTCTGTTGTGTAGGATAGTTGTAGCCTGGATCCTCTTACTGAGCCTTTGGGTCCCCTCTACACTGTTACTGACAGTCCCTGTGTAACCTCAGGAGTGAGGATACATACTGAATTGTTCAATTTGCACTTGTTGAATGTAGTAAGACCAGTCTCTACACACTTGTGTATATGTACTACTTTTCTCTTAGCTAGTGCAGAACTGTAACACTTATGGAGAGACAGACTAGTGATTGTGTTTAATTTGCACCTCTACAGCATCTTGGTTTCTGACAGCAGAGTTTCATTAGCTATGGTAGATGATGAGTACTGATTATAGACATGCAAAAGAGCATGGAGCCTCACCTATCATTTGGCAGGTGAAAGTAGCAAAGAGGTAAACTTGTAAGTTTTCCAAGGGTACTAGTAAAGCTGGCTCCAGAAAAAGAAACTAGTTGTCCTCTTTATACAAACAGAGCCCCCTTTACATATGTTTCCTGCCACATTGACTGTTGTGTCCAACACCATCTTACTAAAACATTGGTGAATAGGATCTGTCAGCATATTAGGCATTTTGATTAAGACATGAAGTCGGATTTGCCCTTCCAGAAGCTGCTAAGTGGACAATGAAACACAACTTTTTGACTTTGTGCAGCAATGGTCAAATTGTAAAGACTGGGTCAGAAGAACTAAATTGAAATAAGACTTTTAGATTAGTGTAATTTGTCCTTAAGCATCAGAACACAGAAGACAGTAAATGAACTGGCTGTACATATGAAATGTCATAGTGAAGCTTCATAGCACACTAAACATCAGTAATGTTCTGTAAAAGGCTTGGCCGTTATTATGCACAGCATGCATCTAAATACAACAATCAATACTTGCAAACATCCATGTTCCATGTAGCTATTTGACCCACTGAGCTGTGCAGTTGGAGACATCAACTGTAGCAACGAAATGTCCAACAGTTGCTCCTCTTTTGGATTATGTTAAGCCTTTATACTTATTGACTTGGGCTTCTATTTTGTCGTGTTTATGATCTACAGAGAAAGAGCAATAGGTGAGGTACATTCAACAAGCAAGGAGTTTATACACAACACTACTTTTCATCCTGGTGGAATGTGTAATCTTGCTGTTCCACACTGAAAAAATTCTGATTCGACGACCTCTCAGTTATTCTGTCCGCGTTGAAACTGGGTCGTCCGGACGTTGTACTGAAATGTATTTCAAGTCCTGCGAATTATACGTCTCGGTCATTTTGCTATTTGGAACAACAAGAGGAGTCAATAGCGTTCGCTTATCCTTGTTCTTATATTACTGTTGTCCTTGGAATGAAGCGTTTCCCAGCGATTCGGAAGCCGGACGTTAAACTTTCAGTTGTCCGTGATTTGGAGCAGTCGCTTAAAAGTTGGAACAGTGAAGAAGCTCACCATATCCCAAAAACAAATCACAGTATCAGTAGTAATATGAATCAGTTAGGGAAGTAATATACCTGCGAACATTTTGGGAAAAGCATGGATACAAAAGCATGGATACACATGGCAAGAAGGAATGGAAGCGAGTCGTTGGGAGAAGTGAAATTGTAGGCACGTGACGTACTTCAAATCGTGTTCGCGTTATTTACATTTATTTGCATAAATCCTGAAACCAAAGATATTCATTTCCAACAGCAATAGTAAAGCTGAGGTAGCACATGGACCGATGTCTGAATAATACATTTTTCCTACGTTATGATCGCTGCTCCTAAACAGCTGTTAGAATGCAGAAGCGGTCTCAGTGGCAGACAGATCCGAAGAGTTGCCACCCCAATAATATGGCGTAAGCTCGGGACTTGCGAAAGTCCTGTCAAAATACAGAAGGATGAACAAACAGTTTCAGAGATAAGATTACCATACTAACAAGTTCAAACCAAGGCTAATTGAGCCGACAACACCTGCGGTTATATTGTCTTCATCCTTGAAAGCTATGTCCATGTTTGCTGTGTAACCCCAGGCCTGAAGAACAAAACAAATATTGAAAGGAGTGTTACTACTAATCGAAAGATAGGAGTTCTGGAGACACGTACGTTTTGGTAGTTGTACCATATGTCGTCGTTATTATAGACACGTTCAACAGGGTTTGTGTTATACGAGGTTGTATTTCCGACTTTCTCAATGAAATCATCTGCAAAGAAAAATTGTCCTGTGCTATTTCGTAAAACATCAAAGATAAGTGGAGAGACCAAGCAATATAGTGGAAGAACTGAATAAAGGGAACTCACTGGACCGCGCTTCCAGCAACAAATGTTCCGTTATCTGCAAGCGAGCCGTTTCCTTCAGTGTACACCTTGATGTGGAAGTGTACGGAGCGACCAGAATACCAGCCTGGGACTATTGAATGCATCGTCAACTCGCCGTTGTCGTCAGTCTGCCATATACCACGCAAGAAGTTCTATCCGTGTCAGAACGTCAGCCAGTACGAAATGAATAGTAAATGGATAGGTCACTTCATTGTCACCAGGCTTAACAATGACCATCGGGTTGTTTGGGTCATCTACATCCGTGTATGCACCTGTTCCAGTCGGGCTGGGGAGAGGTGGGAAGCTTGATCCACTGCCATTGTTACTGGCTGCCGATGCTACCTCATAACCGGAGCTACGCCGACAGTCAAAGAGATCAATTATGAACGCATCAACATGTCACTTACTAGACTCCGGTTGCATTGCATTGCCAGCCGTCGACCCAGACGCGCTGCATTCACATCAGTAAGTAGACGCTGCACTTGGTGCATACAATTACACTGTATACTTACTGGAACAGGCTCACAAGTATCAATGTCAAAGAAGTCAACATTCAATTCAAGAGGAACTCCCGCTGTTTAAACGTGGTTAGCTTTAACCCGATCAAACGCGAGACTCAAATCATACCTTGCCCCTGCGTGATGTTCTGGCGCACGAGCTCGCCTAGGATATGATACGGACCCTGTGTAACCTCTGGAGTGAGGATACATACTGAATCGTTCGATTCGCGCTTGTTGAGTGTAGTGAGACCAGCCTCAGCACGCCTGTGCATCCGTTTCGCCTTTCTCTTGGCTAGTGCAGAGCCACAACGTTGCTGAAGAGACCGTCCTGTAAGCAGATTCAACTCTCGTCGCTGCACCATCTCAGCTGCCGACGGCGGAGTTCCATGAGCTATTGTACACAACAGTCAGCAGTCATAGGATTGTGTAGTAACATGAAGGCTCACCAATCACTTGACAAGCGAATGCAATGGGGATAACGAGGAGGGAGGCAAGCCTGAACATCACTAATTGTTATGAAAGAATTGCCGATCCAAAGCACCCTTGACATTTTGCATCGCCTGCACGGGGGATTTTATACCTTCAGGCTGGCTGCAATGGCAACATTCGTGCTCCACATGGTTAGATCATTGTCAAACGGAACTTATGCGATGTGTTTGTTAGAACAAGAAAGTTATTGGTTTGCCTTTCGGCAGCCGACAGCTTCGAGCGAGACAGAAATTAAGTTTTAGAGGAATAAGCGCAAATTGTATAAGGACGGAGGCCGAGAAGCAGCTGTTCTATAAATGGGAAGTGTCTGCGGTGAAACTGGATGAATGCTATTGGCTCATCAGGGCGCGAAGCATCGGAAGGTAGCACTTGAGCCCGAGGAAGCAAAAGTTTTCATCAAACATCGTGGCGTGCCAAGTATACTTCTGTACAAATGCCGACCATCAATGAAACCTGGTATGAGTTGCATTTCAACGCACTAGCAGATGACCTAGGCGACGGAAGTGCCCGCCCCACCGAGAATCGTGGGATCACTTGCAAGGCTATGAAAGAAATAGCCCACCTCTCTCTTCCGATCACGCCATATGTTCCCGTCTTACTTATTTTTCTTTGAAGATCAGTGACAGTTCAAGACAGAGGAGCCATTTTGAACAGCATAATTTTAAAATCCACTATTTTCGCTTGAAATTTGGCTGTGCTTGCCTTTAGCAAGCATTGATACATGCACAATTTCTGGTATCTGAAATGAAAATGAGATGAGCTGGAGAGCTGGAGAGCTGGAGTAAGCATAGTCTACTGAATGTGCAATTGCCGTAGGGTCTTCTCGATTGTTTATACACACCATTCCATTCTACAATTTAACCGAACCAGAAGATGATCTCATCATCGTTCTCCACAATGTCATATGCACTATCGCAGTACTTCCGTTTTCTAGCGAACAATGTGTTTCCCAGCTGCTCGGAAGCCGGTTGTTCATAGATCAGCTGCAAGCTCTAGACCTCTCGTGTGGCCGCCACCCTCTGCAAGATTGCTGCAGAGGGAAAATTGCTGCATAAATTATTACGATGGCATGCGTGTTGTCGTAGCGAGCTCACCAGAGACGGCCATAAAAAATGGAAGCGTTTCGGAGGAATGCGGAGTGCTAGGTTTTCCAAAGGACATTAGAACCTGACCCGGACGAGATTGAAGGTGTTCCGTAAAGCCATTAATTTAGCTAGTAGTCTCTTCAATCTTGGCAATGACCCGCGGATCGCCCAAAGTTTGTAACGCACGTGGCAGCAGAATGACGTCATTAGCAAACATAGCAAAATATGGGCACTCAGTATTAAGCACAGTGTACGGAGGAAGAAATGTACGGTAACGCATTGGTTTGCTATATCATCATTGTATTAGTAGCGTACATAACAAAACTGTTTTCAAATGTTCCTTTAAGTCGTCTGCAACTCAAATAATGTACCTGAAACCACTCCATTCGTCCCCTTTCTCTCTTTTCGCTGCCTCCACACTGTCGTAACACCCATTACGTGGATTACCACCCCCACGGTCTCCAATGACTTCGTCACGCTCCCCACGGTCACGACGTTCGTTCTCTTTCTTCAACAAAATGTGCAAAGCAATGGAACTAATGAGGCCAAGAAGCGCACATCCGGATGCAAAGGCATATCCCAGGGTATACCGTGGTAAGTCACGTTCGCGGTACTGAATCAAAGTTTATGTTGTGCCATCAGTACGAACGACTTCTGGGTACAGGAAAGCGAATGCCGACCGTATTGGCACTGACAAGTCCTGCTACATTTGCCCTTCGAACATTTACAATTATGTCAGCGTTCACAGCTTAGACCCTCGAGAACGTACATCGAAATAATTATTGCAATGGAGACGCTACGCTTATAAGAGTCTTCGACGTTGTTCGAAATCCAGGCACTACATTTGAATGGTTATAAGTGAAGTCTCGAACGCATCATAGAATCTCATAATTCTGACGTATCGTTCGCTGTAGTCAACTTGCTCAGTGAATCGCCATCAGGCATCCTGATGAACGGATATGCCTTACCGATAGAAGGTAGAGATCCACTATTTATGATACATGGTCAGTGTCGTGAATTATAATATCAAGTGATGGACATTCGCACAGAGCAACCAAATATGTTGCGAAATACGACAAGGCTGGACTTCTGGAAAACATGAGAATAAAGCAACCAAAGGAAGCTATTGAAATTGCAATTAATGATTATCACTCATGAAACGCAGAATCGTGTACCAATACCAAATAGTGCACTGTTCAAATTGATAAGCTGACGGGCCTAGAATAGTTGTGAAATGCTCACGCTGCGAAGAGACCACGTGTCCTCAGTCGATCGGCAAATAAACCGACGACCCATGAGAAGACCGTGGCTACGACGTATACAGGTACAGACAGTAGATTTGCTCTAGTCGCCGAGAAACCTGTGAGCCTTAATTAGAAAAGGCACGGGCACATTTGATTCATAATCTCTCACCCAACTGAGATATAATGCTAGGAAGGAAGAAAGCCAAAGCATATACTGGACCACCAGCACCTGGAATGGAAAATGAGTAGCAATCGTGTGTAAGCAAGCTCCTTCATTTGATGACTTACCTGCGAGACAGCATGCTCCAAGCCAGGTCTTCCAGTCCGTCAAACTCTTGAAGACACTTCTCCATCTCAGTTGTTCACCGGTGGAGAACTCGTTATCCACTTGCAATCGGTGAATAACGTATGCACGCTCATTCTCAGAGATGAACCGAGCAGATGTAGGATAGTCTTGTATGAAGAGGAAGGACGCCAGAGATGCAACAACAGTGACAAGGCCCTCAATGATGAATATCCAAGCCCTAGAAGGTGTCCTCTTCCAGTGCATTGTGACGAATATGACAAATGATTTACCAGACAGGTTTTCCACCAGCGCCCCCTATATTAGAGATCGCTGCCTTCATGAACACATGAGCCGGGAGAAAGTATTTCGAATAAAGTTTACAAGACACACGGCTATAAGGCCACCAAACGCGCCAGCGATCGCAGTGCCAGACGCGAATATTGCATAACGAACTCCGAGTTCGCTGCGTTTGTACCAGCTTCAAGGAGAAAGCAGACACTCCAGAGTTATACTATGACCATTGGGCGATGGCTCACCAGGACAGGTAATACATCGTACCGGGAAAGAAACCAGCCTCGAAAACACCGAGTAACACTCGTGTAGCTAATAGGATGTCATTGAAAGGGAATTGACACAAGGAAGGAGCCAACCGACCAAGCAATTCTCCGAAGTTCTTGACAATACCCTGGGCAGTCTTCGTAGCAACTCAGAACGCTGGTGACAATAAACGACAAAAAACCACTCACCATCACAACACCCCACAGAAGCATGACTGACGATAACCACATCGATGGTCTCAATCGCTTCAAGCACATGTTAGCAGGCACCTGGAATTTCATGTCGTAAGTGTGTCACGAGTATCATGTGGGACTGAACAAGCTCAAAACTCTGACTTCAAAAATGATGTACGTTACGAAGAACAGTGACAGGCATATCAGGTACTGTGCATCCGACAAGTGCAGATCCGCTTCCATATTGTACAGCTACGAGTTGTTCAGGTTCCATATCCAAACGTGACAATGCGATGTTCAGCTTACCCGTGCGTTTCCAATACTCGCTCTGTCAACGAAGCTGAGCACGTTGAGCAGAAAGAGCCAAGGTATCAGAGCGACATCAATGCGACGCAATAGTTTGCTTTCATCGATGCTGTCGTCCCGCCGTCTAGCAGAGCGACACTATGAGCCTGGTGACCTACTGTTGTGAGGATACATACGATTCTTCTAGTGGCGTTACCTCTAGTCGACGGTCTTCCACTTTACGTTCCGAGTCACTTGATTCCTCGACAGATGCTTTTTCACCTTGCATTTTGGGGTTGATTGATGAAGTTGTGGCGTACCACATCGCCTGAACCTCTGGCCAATTTATAGTGGAGAACGTATTTCGAGTACAGATTCCGCAGTAAATAATAGAAGAGAAACATCTAGGAAGCAGCTCAAACGAGGTATCGCGATAAGCCTTGATAGGCCCAGAACAGCATCACTAAGCATCGAATGCGAAATACCGGGCTTCTTTCCCTTCAAACAGTTTATTCATAGATTGATCAAGAGGCGACAAGTATACCCAAGCCAATGCCAGTAGCTTGAAGGTTCATCAGCTGATACACGGGGAACTGGCGAAGCTTCGCGGTACGGCTTGAAAAGACAATAGTCCTCGATATCCGTGTTCTGCTGAGATACAGATGCGCGAATATCGGTCGGAAGCAGGTGAAGTAATGTGTTCTAGATGTGAGTCAACAAGTTGAGCAAAGCAACGGGGAAGTAACGGGATTCCGGGGTACCGATCTTGAGGTATACATACCTGAGGAGCGCGGTCGGGGTTGCGATGGAGAGTACTCTGTCATATCAAGAACCCCGACAAGACCCCACGAGTTACTTGTAATACGCTGGGTTTCATTGCATCCAGTCAAGATTATTCTTCAACTTTCTTTATACCGCTACGTCTCTACGAATGAATTTGAGTGGAAGAATAATAGGCCCTTTATTGAATGCCGTATGAGACGTAGAATCGGCGTCTAATGAGAAGGTCGACATCACTGCTGGCCAGCTAGGTTGCGAAGGAGATCACGGTCATCGCTCTCGTCCACCAGTGCGCGGAAGTACCCATCTTCCTTCTCCAGCAGAGCGTTCGGGCTGTCGAATTCAACGAGCTCGCCTGCATCCAGCACCATCTGATAGAAAGAGAAGTGATGTATCAGTCATTGTGATGCAGATGTACTTGGGTACGTACAATTTTGTCATAATCGACGATTGTCTGCAGACGATGTGCAATAGTAAGCAGCGTAGTATCCTTACTGAACTCCGTGCGCAGTGTATTTTGTATTGCAGTGTCTGTATCGTAATCTGAAGTACAAAGTTCGATGTTAATCGTAGACAATTACATGGAGCGAAGGCTGACTTACCAATGGCAGCCGTGGCTTCATCAAGAATCAATAGCTTGCTCCTTCGGACAATGGCTCGTGCAAGAGCGATAATCTGGCGCTGGCCCAATGAGAAATTCGTCCCGCCACTCTCGACTCTAGTATCAAGTCCAATCTTCGCGCTTGGTTCCGAGCCATCCACACACTGCTCCCCAGTCATGTCGTTGACTGGATCGCTGGATGGCTTTTGCGAAGCCAAGTCCTTGATATTGAAGAAACCTGCGGCATTCAATGCATCATACAGAGTCGCATCGTCATGCTGCCCGAAGGGGTCAAGGTTCTCGCGAAGCGTCCCGTGAATGAGCTCGGGCTGCTGAGGAATAAGTGTGATGTTTGTACGTAAGGAGTCCAGGTTGATTTCATCGGTAGCGAGACCATCGTAATAGACTTTTCCTTCTGTCTTGATAGCTCGCAATAGAGCCAATGCAATACTGGACTTTCCTAAAGATGATATCAACTTTAGCGATTTAAGGCAATCAATTTTACAAACCCGCTCCAGTTCGGCCAACTAGATTGCATTGTATATTAAATATGTATTATCAAACATACAGGGGAAAACAATGAAACGCACCGATGCCGACTCGCTCTCCTGATTTAACATTGAACGAGATGTTTTTCAATATCGCCGGCGCATCTGACAAAAATCCTATCAGAAATAACTATAGTCACAATGGGGCACGATGTACCATCAGAGTATCTAGCGAAGAGCTTCTCAACACGCAGCTCCCCGCTTGATGGCCAGTACGCTGGTGGCTTTCCACTTTCAATTGGAGCTGGTTCATGATCAATTCGCATGAACTCAAGCATCCGTTCCAAGCTAGACGTCGATATACGTTAATTGAATTCATGATGAATGCACCAAAAGCACAAACCTGTTGGCTAAATAAAGATCATGATGAGTAAATGAAACAAATGAAAAGATATGATGCGTACCTTGGATCTCAGCAAGATTATAGATACGAACCCAGAATAATATTTGGCTGGAAAATGACAGCACGGAGGACAGTGTGAACCCAGCATAGCCGGCCGGGATTTTACTGCCATATGCAAGGTATGCCGCTACGACTCCCCCAAAAATGGCACCAAGGAAGTCCATTCGAATACTCACCCAACGATTTATATCATAGAAACAGTATGATGAACGTGCAAGCACATCAATGCGCTTCTTAAGCTCGCTGTAGAAGAGATCTTGTGCGCCATACGCTCGGATCGAAGCTGCAACGGAAACTCCTCAAGGAACAGTCGAAGGTGATCGGAACAAAAACAACTTACGTAGGCCCGACAGAGCTGTCCCGACTTGAGACAAGACCGGTGCTTTTGCGTTACTATCATGGAAGACAACATCGCAACAGGCAATACCTATTCAGTCAAATGCCGGGAAGAATCGATATGAAAGGCGAACCTCATTTCCCGCCTGGTGCACATCTGACACTTCAAATAGATTCGTCCTAGCGAGGTAGCAAGGACTCCAATCACAAGACCGGATATGAAAGCAGACCAACCAGCCATGTAGACGGCCGCGAAGTAATAGCATATCATATTAAATGTAACACGAAGAAACATTCTCGAAAATGCAGAGAGTTGATCGTCGATGGAGCTCATATCTTGTGTACATCTAGGATATGGCCGAATGAGTGACAGTAAAAGATGCATTGACCACGATGTATATACCTTGCGATGATACGGCCGACTGGTGTAACATCGAGCCACCTAAAACAAATATGATACTAGTCAGTTAGCCACTCGACGGGACCAGTCAGACAATTTACCTGAACGAAGACGTAAAGATGCTTTGCAACAATTGCGAATGTATGATTTTTGATGCTCTCAGAGATCTGAAGAGCCACAGAAACTGAGAGCCGAAATCTGCTGCGTATCGCAAAACGTTTGCGAGTGCATAAATAAGCAGGTATCTGTTCCATGAAAATGTAAAAAATCCCAGGATGAATAATGCATAGATGAACTGCCTACCTAAACACCGGCACTTCTGAAGCAGGACGTGTTTCGTATTGGTTCGACCAATAGCCGACAAACCACTGCTGCATTACCATGATCACCATTGCTAGGATTAGTGAGCCAATGATCACTATCCACACGAACGCGCCACCCATGCTCGAAACATAGAGCATGATCGCGGCCAACTCTACACGACCCATAGCTTTTTCTTCCGCAACGACAAGTTTCCCTGCAGTCTTCTTCGAGTCCTCTGCATCCGCATCCTTGTCTTTTATGGCTTCGTCCACTTCACTCTCAATTTCCTGTTCAACTGCTTCTCGTTCCTTCTCAGCTTCAGCCCGCAACCGCGAGTCCTTCTTCAGTACCTCCGAAACAGTTCCCTGAGCTGAGACCGTCCCGTGGCGCGTAAGTACTACAACATATCCGGCGATGGGTCCGGCAAGAGAAATGTTGTGTGTTACAAGCAACACTGTACGCCCTTGAATCAGATCACCTTGCAAAGCTTTATCGACTATCCATTTCGCAGTATGGACGTCTAGGGCCGCCAAGACATCGTCCAGAAGAAGAATAGACGCGGAGGAGTACACCGCGCGTGCAAGAGTAACTCGAGCCTGCGATAGTTATGAACGAAGAAAACGATACGATAAATGACCTTGACTGACCTTTTGTCCACCACTGTATTGAAGTTTAGCATTAGATTGAATCTTTCTGAGCGTAGTAACTAACCTTAGTGTCAATCCCTTCTCGCCAACTTCCGTGAGATCTCCGGCTTCCCATAAAGCGAGATCCCTTTCGAGAGCACATTGGTTAATTACTATTAATCCAACGACTACATTAGCCGAATTCTACACGTTGAGATCCTCCATTCACCAACCTTTCTTGTATCTGTCCTCGTCGTACGGTTCTCCAAACAAGATATTGTCCTGTTATAGTCGCACCATCATTCAACGTTGGGCCGATAAACCGATGATGAAGAACCTACCCTGATTGTCGCATTGAGCACCCACGATTCCTGTGGTGCGTACGCAATACCACCGTCGCGAGGAAGTTTGTACCACGACCCGACTCCATGCGGCTTGCAATACATCTCTCCTAGTAGTGCCAAAAGAACCGATGTCTGAAACAAGGAATGTCACAACAGGTTCTTTGTATCAGTCAATCATCGTACCTTTCCTGCAGCCGTCGGTCCAACAATGAGGTTGATCTGACCAGGCTTAAAGGTCACTTCGTCATCAAAGCGAAGGCTGAAATGCTTCCGAGTATGATGCTTCCTCGGTGTTCCGGATTCCTTCGTCTTCGGGGTGTCCCAAGAGAATGCGCACTGTTTGAAGCCAATCACATCGGATCCTGGTTGTTCGCGTTCAATATCTTCCGAAGATATCCTTTCACCAGTACTAGTGTACACAGCATTTCCTTCACATAACAGCTCAGTCTTTGAAAGAAATGTAAGACATGGGCGCCTTGTCGTTTAACACGTCTGTAATCTCACCGAGTTTAAGAAATGAGTATAACGGTCACACGATGCCTTGGCTGCACATCAAAAGTAACGGTGTTAGCAGCGGACATTGATACGCCAAACATACGACTGAGACTCTTACATACATTTAAGAAGGCCAGGTATGACGGACATGATCGTCCATAATTGCTGCTCCAACATGTTAAAAATCTGCAAGATAGGAAATTAGACACGCATCAATAGTATAACTGTCGAACTCAGACCAAAAGTGCTGCAAATATGCGAGACGCAGAGAGTTCTCCCTTGGATACAAGCGTCTAATAGCGTAGTAAGTATCACGACGTCGCAGTATATAAAATGCAAAGTCTCTCGACTTACGTATGTTGAAATCGCAGCAAGGTTGGACAGGAGAGGGAGCAACCCGTTTGAGGCATTCATAGCCAAACTCAGCAGTTTAAATCGCCGAACCCTCGTGAGTTCTTCATCACGACGATCACTTAGTTGCTTAAGCATATATGGCTCCCAGCCGAAGAGTTTAATCATTCTAATGACGCCCATTGCTATGCGGGATACTGAGCATCTGTGAAGAGCAACTATGTAAATAGACACACCTTCCGTTACAGATTGCACGCGCTTGTCTGTCTAAATAAAGAAGGATAAGTCACATTTCCTGTCAGGCACTATCAACAGCCCGTACAGCCTGCATTTTCCGTTTCTGGACAGCTACCATCGACTTTCCAATGAGGGCAGGGAGGGGGAGGCATATAATCATCACGACCAGGGCCACGAACGCGCTTTTGAGTACTGTTCAACACGGAGATCTGCACAGCAAGACAGAAAAAACTTACCTCCAGCCAAGCAAATCATATAGGAAGACAATGGAAACGACGAGTTGCACGAGAATGCCAGCTTTAGGGATTACTTAAGAAACATTCACCCGAGAATGATGACACAAATTAGAACTCACGAAGCAATGTTAAATACTGCAAATCTGCGACTGCAATAAGGTCTGATGTGATTAGATTATTAATTTTGCCAACGATATGTCCAGTCCTTTCTTGAGAATTCTTCTCCTTCGTATCTTGTTGTGAGCTGCTGTTACTCGCAGCCGTCGTGCTCGATGCTGGAGCTATGTCACTGGCTTCTTCCGTAGATGAATCACCATCCGTTGTCGCTGGCGTATCTGTCGTTTGGGTACTGTCTTCGGTTGTTTCTGGGATGTCCTTACTACTGCCTTTTTCGGTGTCTGAATCGGGTGAGTCACTCTTCAACCGAATCCGTAGTGCATGATGGAAGACTAGGTAGGTAAAGACACTTGCGTTCTCTACTTGAATACGCGTCTGATGCAACGCGTAAGCAACAAGCACAAGGATAGTGGAATTGCTGCTCACGGATTCAAATAACCATTGGTTGTACAAGAATCCAGATAAGACAGGTCCAACAACGAGAACAAGAATCCAAACCCAAATGTGCAATCCATGCGAGGGAATACCAGTCTCCATAGAGCTATAGAGGAATAATAACAATCAGCACATGTAGTATATTTGGACAAGGTGGGGCTTACGCAAGAAGATTCCGCATGCCGTACGGGGTTGAAAACTTCGCAAGAGACCATAGGCATTGGAAAACCGTCATTAATACGAATGAACTCCGCCACACGTTCAAGATCCCCCAAATGATGTGTCGTTTTCCGACCTGCACAGGATCAACAGCTGCCAATGCCCGCTTCGATAGCTGTTCTATCTTCCCTGGACCAGGCATCTCCGGCATGTCCTTCACAGTGATGTCAGGCACCCGAAACGCATACCAAACGACGCGATCCAGATATAAGTACGTGTAACGAGAAAACAGGCTTGCTGTCTCTGCCGAACTAGGCTCGTCATCTGGCGACGACGGGCGAAAAGGTCGTGGCATCACGAGAGGAATAATGACACCACCAAGAGTAAGAAGAGCAACGCGCACCCACGTCGTAGGCTCGTCCGCAGGATCGAAAGGCTTCGGACGAAGCTCTGCACACGGCCATACATCCAGAACGAAGTATACAAAGAAGTCCATGAAGAGGACGAAAGCAAGCTGTAAAGATGCTGTGTCCCTCCACTGGGTTGAGGTGGCCATGGATAACATTGAAAGTAAGGACGCATAAATCTGCAGATACGAGGTTAGGAAATCATACAGAAATGAATTATTTACTTACAAAAAGCGGGATTTGGAGCGCTTGAGCTCTGAATCCATGTCCTGTACTAAGCTCATAAACCTCAATTGACAAGAGAGCTAGGACCGTCAGAAGCCGCAGCAGTCTGAACAACAGAATCGCAGGTCCATCAAATTTTCGCACCGTCTCTAGTAAGCTGTCGGCTGAGCGGACACATTCTTCATCTTCCTCTTGCAGCAAAGCCTCTTTGCCCTTCTCTCGAGACCAGCGAACCCGTACGTATTTCTGAAGGATATAAACCAGAGAGACTAACGCGAACACAGGTGGCAAATATAAGAGGAGTCCACGTGACCATATACGACTTGTCAGGACCTCCATTAACGATTCGAAGAGGCTCCCCAAATCCAAACAGCACAAACACGACGGTCAGAGCAGGACGTTGAAACTTGAAATGTCCCGACCGGCGCGCTGTGAACTTATATCGCTGACAAAGGCATATTACACACGACACACAAACACTGATTCAGCAGCGTACGCGTTTGGACGCCGGTCAGGGGTCAAATGATCGCACTCTCTCACGGCGGGGAAACCAGCTGAGTTTCCCGCCACAGAGTTCGTAACTTCAACAATGTCAACCCTGTATAGTACAGTATTGTATCCCTTAAACAGAAAAAATCAATGCTACTTATGTGCCCGGACAAAAGAAGCAATAAATTTTCAGTCCTGAAATTAAAGTATATATAATTATTAATTATACTTGTATTATAGTTTCTTATAAAGTTAGAAAAAACTTTTCAATTTATTTTTGTCTTATAAGTCTGTCTATTGCTCATCCACACTATAACTAATACAATGGAGTGGTATTTAAAAATACTCAAGATACTACACACTCATAAATATTCGAGTTTTGACTATGACTTACTGTAATATTTTAAGTTTAATAATTAGTTTTTATCCTTGTAACCACCAGTACATAGTAAAAAATTACTAGAGATTTTACAAGATTCTTGACTTTAGAATATTATAAATTATGGGATTATAAAGTAGCTATTCCCGGCTGGAAAAAAATAAGATAATACAGAAATGTTACTTTAAAGCTTACATTTGAATAATTACTTTAATAATCCTTATAATTTAGAATGTTGATATTTTATTTGATAATTTTCAATAAAGTGTATATATAATAGATATTAAAAAGTTGTAAAAAGTATAGAGTGACGTACTTCTGAAGAAAAGTTAAGTCGAGTAGTAGGAAAGTACAAGACTAACAGTCATGTACCACAGTGTTGTACCTGTGTGTTTCCAACACTCACTCCGAGTTGCTTAGTTAGGAAGCTAAGCATGTGGGGGAAAAGAAGCCGGAGCATTAGATTTAATCAATACTGCGCAAGAACTTGCCTTTGTCGATATTGTCATTTCGCCCTTCAGTATTGTGTTTTCGAGACAGTATCAGTCGAAAGCAAGGGAAGTTATGCGTTCTAGACATGAGTCGACAAGTTGAGCGGAGCAACGTGAAAGTGACAGATATTCCAGGGTGCCAATCTTGGAATACACATGCCTAAGGAGCGAGGTCGGGTCTCCAATGAGGATCAATCCATCATGACTGCCTCAGGAATTGCTTGTTTCGAGTTGTGCTTTATTATACGCGATAAACATCACTCATCAACGTTTACATCTCTACGCTCCTACGACTGAACTTGAATGGAAGACAAATAGGTTCTGCGTTGGATCTCAGCTGACAAGATGAACCGGCGTCGAAATGATAGGGTCAATGTTACTGCCGGCTGGCTAGGTTACGAAGAAGATCGCGATCATCGCTTTCGTCCACCAGTGCGCGGAAATATCCGTCTTCCTTCTCCAGCAGAGCGTTGGGGCTGTCGAATTCCACAAGCTCGCCCGCGTCTAGCACCATCTGTTGAAAGGAGGGGGGAAGTGATGTATCAGCCATTGCGGTATGGATGAACTTGAATACGTACGATTTTGTCATAATCGACGATTGTCTGTAGACGATGCGCAATAGTAAGCAGCGTAGTATCCTTACTGAACTCCGTGCGCAGTGTATTTTGTATTGCAGTGTCTGTATCGTAATCTGGAGTACAAAGTTTGGTGTTATACATAGACAATTACACGGAGCGAAGTCAGACTTACCAATAGCGGCTGTGGCTTCGTCAAGAATCAATAGCTTGCTCCTTCGGACAATGGCTCGTGCAAGAGCGATAATCTGGCGCTGGCCCAATGAGAAATTCGTCCCGCCACTCTCGACCATAGTGTCAAGTCCAATCTTTGCGCTTGATTCTGAGCCATCCGCACACTGTTCCGCTGTTGTGTCATTGACGTGCCCGTCAGGTTGCTTTTGCGAAGCTAAATCCTTAATACTGAAGAAACCTGCGGCATTCAACGCATCATACAGAGTTGCGTCGTCATGCTGCTCAAAGGGATCAAGGTTCTCGCGAAGCGTTCCGTGAATAAGTTCAGGTTGCTGAGGGATGAGCGTGATGTTTGTACGTAAGGAGTCCAGGTTGATTTCATCGGTAGCGAGACCATCGTAATAGACTTTTCCTTCTGTCTTGATAGCTCGTAATAGGCCCAATGCAACACTGGACTTTCCTAAAGATGATATGATATCAGCTTTAGCGATCTAGGGCAATCGATTTTACAAACCCGCTCCAGTTCGGCCAACTAAGTTGCGTTGAAAGGTTATCATCCGTTATCAGTGCGCACAGAAAGCATTGAACTCACCAATACCGACTCGCTCTCCTGATTTAACGTTGAATGATATGTTTTTCAATATTGCGGGTGAATCTTAAAAATGTACTGTTAGAAATAACCGGAGTCACATTAGGGCGTGATGTACCATCGGAATATCTAGCAGAGAGCTTCTCAACACACAGCTCCCCGCTTGACGGCCAGTATGCGGGTGGCTTTCCACTCTCGCCTGGAGCTGGTTCATGATCGATGCGCATGAACTCAAGCATCCGCTCCAGGCTTAACGATATATGTTAGTTTTATCAACAATGGACAAACCAACATTACACACCTATTCGCTAAATGAAGAACACGGTGAATAATTGAAGCATATGAAAAGAAAAGAAAAATGGTGCGTACCTTGGATCTCGGCAAGATTATAAAAGCGGACCCAGAACAAGATTTGGGCGGAAAATGACAAAACAGCAGACAGTGTGAATCCAGCATAGCCAGCCGGAATATTACTACCATATGCAAGGTATGCCGCCACGACTCCCCCAAAAATGGCACCAAGGAAGTCCATTCGAATGCTCACCCAACGGTTTATGTCATAGAAACAGTATGATGTGCGTGCAAGCACATCAATGCGATTCTTAAGTTCGTTGTAGAAGAGATCTTGCGCGCTATACGCTCGGATCGAAGCTACAATAGGAATTCTTTCTAGGAACAGGCAGTGGGAGATCGGAACAAAAGCAGCTTACGTAGACCTGATAAGGCTGTCTCGACTTGAGACAAGACTGGCGCTTTGGCATTGCTATCATCAAAGACAACATCGCAACAGGCAATACCTATTCAGTCAAATGCCGGGAAGAATCGATATGAAAGGCGAACCTCATTTCCCGTCTGGTGCACATCTGACACTTCAAATAGATTCGTCCCAGTGAAGTGGCAAGGATTCCAATCACAAGGCCGGAGATGAACGCATACCAACCGGCCATGTAGACGGCCGCGAAGTAATAGCATATCATATTGAGCGTCATTCCAAGAAATATTTCCGAAAACATGGAGAGTTGATCGTCGATGATGCTCATATCTTGTGTACATCTGGAAAATGGGTAAATAAACTTCCGTGAAAAATACGTTGATTATCAAGTACATACCTTGTGACGATGCGACCAACTGGCGTAATGTCGAGCCACCTACAAGTAAGTATTATACTAGTGAGCTATCTAGTCAAGAAAGCCAGTCGCACAGCTTACCTGAACGAAGACGTAAAAATGCTTTGCAGCAAACGCGAATGTATGATTTTTGATGCTCTCAGCGACCTGAAGAGCCATAGCAACTGAGAGCTGAAATCTGCCGCGTATCGCAAAAGATTTGCGAACGCATAGAGAAACAGGTACCTATTCCATGAGATCATTAGTAAAAAGCCAGGCTTGTGCGGCAGATAAATGAACTGCCTACCTAAGTACAGGCACCTCCGAAGCAGGATGAGTCTCATATTGGTTGGACCAGTAGCCCATGAACCATTGTTGCATTACCATGATCACCATTGCCAATAATCGCGAGCCAACGATGGATATCCAGACGAACGCTCCACCCATGCTCGCAACATAGAGCAAGATTGCTGCCAGCTCCACACGCCCCATAGCTTTTTCCTCAGCAACGACCAGCTTCCCTGCAGCTTTCTTCGAGTCCTCTGAGTCTGCATCCTTGTCTTTTATGGCTTCGTCCATCTTGCTCTCAATTTCTTGATTAGCTGCTTCTCGTTCCTTCTCGGCTTCAGCCCGTAGCCGAGAGTCTTTATTCAGTACCTCCGAAACAGTTCCTTGAGCTGAGACCGTCCCGTGACGCGTCAATACGACAACATGTCCGGCGATGGGTCCGGCAAGAGAAATGTTGTGTGTTACAAGCAATACTGTACGCCCTTGAATCAGATCACCTTGCAAAGCTTTATCGACTATCCATTTCGCAGTGTGGACGTCTAGGGCGGCTAAGACATCGTCCAGAAGAAGAATAGACGCGGAAGAATATAATGCACGCGCGAGTGTAACTCGGGCCTGCGACGGCAATTAACCGAAGAAGCTATTCGATGAAGCACCTTGACTGACCTTTTGTCCACCACTGTATCGAAGATTTAGCATAATACGGAGCTTTTCTGGGCATAACAACTGACCTTAGCGTCAAGCCCTTCTCGCCGACTTCCGTAAGGTCACCAGCTTCCCATAGAGCAAGGTCCCTCTCGAGAGCGCACTGGCTAATTACTATTGATCCAATGCTTATGTCAGCTGAATTCTACACATTGACGTCCTCCACACGCCAACCTTTCTTGTATCGGTCTTCGTTGTATGGTTCTCCGAACAAGATATTGTCCTATTATTCTCGCGTCTAGAAGCAATGTTGGATGGGTAAACTGATGGCAATGGACTTACCCTGATTGTCGCATTGAGCACCCATGATTCCTGTGGTGCATATGCAATACCACCATCACGGGGAAGGTTGTACCACGACCCGACCCCATGCGGCTTGCAATACATCTCTCCCAGTAGCGCCAAAAGAACCGATGTCTGGAACAGAGAATATCACAACAAATCCATCTTTATCAATCATTCATCGTACCTTTCCTGCAGCCGTCGGTCCAACAATGAGGTTGATCTGACCAGGCTTAAAGGTCACTTCGTCATCAAAGCGAAGGCTGAAATGCTTCCGAGTATGATGCTTCCTTGGTGTTCCGGATTCCTTCGTCTTCGGGGTGTCCCAAGAGAATGCGCACTGTTTGAAGCCAATCACATCGGATCCTGGCTGCTCGCGTTCAATATCTTCCGAAGATATCCTTTCACCGGTACTAGTGTACACAGCATTTCCTTCACATAACAGCTCGGTCTTTGAAAGAAATGTAAGACACAGGCACCTCGCCGTCTCATTTCGTTTGTACTCTCACCGAGTTTAAGAAATGTGTGTAACGGTCGCATGAGACCTTGGCTGCACATCAAAAGTGACGGAGTCAGCAGCGGATATCGAAACATCCGTCATACAGCCGAGAATCTTACGTACACTTTAGAAGACCAGGTAGCGTGGCCATGATCATCCACAGCTGCTGCTCCATCAAGCCAAAAACCTGCAAGACAGGAATAAGAGATACATCAATTACACGATCACCGAATTCAGACCATAAGCGCTGCAAATATGCGCGACGCAGAAAGTTCCCCCTTGGTGACAAGCGTCTAACAGTATAATAAGTGTCACGATGGTTTGAAGTGTACGAGGTTTGCTGACTTACATATATTGAAATCGCGGCAAGTTTGGACAAGAGGGGAAGCATGTCGTTCGAGGCATTCATAGCCAAAGTCAGCAGTTTAAATCGTCGAATCCTCGTGAGCTCTTCATCACGACGATTACCGAGTTGCTTGAGCGTGTATGGCTGCCAGCCGAAGAGTTTGATCATCCTGATGACGCCCAATGCTATGCAGGACAATGAGTACCTACGGGAGTAATAACGCTGATATAGACACACCTTCCGTTACTGATTGCACGCGCTTGTCTGTCTGAATTCAGAGAGAGATAAGCCACGTCTCCTGTTAGGTACCGTCAAAAAGTGCATACAGCTTGCATTTTGCCTTGCTGGACAGTTGCCATTGAATTTCCAATAAGGGCAGGGATCGGGAGGCATACAATCATCACACCAAGAGCTACGAAAGCGCTTTTGAATGCTGGTCAGTACGGAGCTCGGCACGGCAGGCACTCAGGCACTACTTCTCACCTCCAACCAAGCAAATCATACAGGAAGACAATGGAAAGGACGAGTTGCACGAGAATGCCAGCTTCGAACAGTATTTAAGTCATGTTCTCTTGCAAATGGTAAACAATCATGAACTCACGCAGTGTCGTCACATAGTGCAAATCAGCAAGTGCGGTGAGGTCTGATGTGATAAGATTATTGATTTTGCCAATAATATGTCCAGTTCTCTCCTGGGAATTCTTGTCCTTTGTAGCTTGTTGTGAGCTGAAACCACTTGCAGCCGTTGTAGTCGATGCTGGAGCTACGTTACTGGCTTCTTCCGTAGATGAATCGGCATCTGTTGTCGCTGGCGTTTCTGTCGTCTGGGTGTTCTCTTCGTTTGTTTCTGGGATGTCGTTATTACTACCTTTTCCAGTGTCCGAATCAAGTGAGTCACTCTTCAATCGGATCCGTAATGCATGATGGAAGACGAGATATGTAAATACACTTCCGTTCTCAACGATGATACGTGTCTGCATCAAACACGTGAGGAATCGCGAGGCACAAGAATGTTGAAACGGCGTCTTACAGCTTCATATAACCACTGATTGTACAAGAATCCAGATACGACGGGTCCAACGACGAGAACAAGAATCCAAACCCAAGTGTGCAAACCATGCGAGGGAATACCAGTCTCCATGGAACTGTGCGATGATAAAAACAATCAGCACATGTAATATACTTGGCCAAGGTGGGACTTACACAAGAAGGTTTCGCATGCCGTATGGGCTTGCAAACTCCGCAAGTGACCACAGACATTGAAAGAGCGTCATTAGCACAAATTCCCTGCGCCACACCTTCAGGATTCCCCAGACAATGTGCCGCTTTCCAACTTGCACGGGATCAACAGCTGCCAATGCCCGCTTTGCTAGCACTTCCATCTTCGCCGGACCAGGCATTTCCGGCATGTCCTTCACAGTGATGTCAGGCACCCGAAACGCAAACCAAACAATGCGATCTAGATAAGAGTACGTATAACGCGACAACAAACTTGCTGTCTCCGACGAACTAGGCTCGTCATCTGGCGACGACGGGCGAAAAGGTCGTGGCATCACGAGAGGAATAATGACACCACCCAAAGCAAGGAGAGCAACGCGCACCCACGTCGCGGGCTCGTGCACAAGATCGAAAGGTTTCGGACTAAGCATTGCATATGGCCATACATCCAGAACAAAGTATACCAGGAAATCCACGAAAAGGACGAGAGCAAGCTGTAAAGATACTATGTCCCTCCAATATGTAGGGGTGGCCATGGATAGCACGGCAAGTGAGGAGGCATAAATCTGCAGATGCGGGATTAGGAAATCATACAGAAATAAACTATTACATACAAAAAGCGGGATCTGAAGCGCTTTAGCCCCGGATCCATGTCCTGTGCTATGTTCATAAACCTCAATCGACAAGAGAGCTAAGACCGTCAGAAGCCGTAGTAGTCTGAATAACAGGATCACAGGTCCATCATATTTTTGCACTGTCTCCAGTAGGCTTTCGGCCGAGAGATCAGGTCCTTCATCTTCCTCCTTTCCCTTCTCTCGAGACCAACGAGTCCATGCATATTTCTGAAGGACATGGACTAGAGAGACGACGGCAAATATGGGCGGCAGATATGAGAGGAGACCACGTGACCATAGACGACTCGTATGCATATGTAGCTCCATGCAGGCTCCCCAGATGCAGAGCACAAACGCGACAAGGGCTGAGGCAGGACAGGGAAAATGTCGGGAACAGCGCGCTGTGAACTTATATCGCTGATTGAGAAACAACACACGCGACGCGGTATAACTGAATCACGGCACAGGACGCGTTGACTCGAGTCAGGGTCAAATGATTGTACTTTCTCACCCCGCCTGAACTGGGCGACCACTTGTGGCCATCCTTTGACGCATCGCGATCAATTGATTTGAAGTCGTCTGGATCTAGAAATCTCTGCCGGGGGCCGGAGTAGTAGGAGGTTTGCTCGGACATAGTCCCAATAGATGTAGAATTGGAAAGGTAGGGCGGGTGTGAGGCCAAAAATATGGGATAATGGTCACGTGCGTGGCAAATAATGAAATCATTGCGCTGAGCCAAGTCAACGGACCGCATCATTTCCTGTGCCACGGGTAAAGTAAAACCCAGGCACTTATCGGATCCGCCAAGCCAAGCAAAGATGCTCAGCCTGACTCATGTAAAACTTGAGTCACCCAAAGATCGCAAATCGGGCTGGGGATGCATTTATGTGAGTGATTAATGACTATAATTCATTAGCAGGGGAACGTACAGTGCCTACAAATAGCAACGTCTGCGAGGTAGCATGTCTGCAAGTGAGAGGAAGCATGTATATTAAACTGATACCATAAGGCCCTGTTTGGATGCAGGGAATAATGCGAAATAATGCAGAATAACTTATCTCGAAATAAGGATGTAACATTAGCAAATCTGATCTGATGGAAACCTGATTAGAATCTCTACCTCCATAAGTTAATTTTGAAGGCAAGGTTGATTTTGCTATGTGAAACAGTCAGCACAAGGTCTATGTGACTCTTTGTGATATTCCACTATTCTTTGTTATTCCCAACACTAGTATTCCTGCATCCAAACAGGGTCTTGCAGTGTTTCTGGAAAACAATGACAGCAATCCAAGTTACATTGTTTTTTTTACCTCCTGCCCCAAATAGCAGAGCTACCATGTATAGTGTAATTACACATGATGCACTGTTCCCCAAGGATTTTTTTAACACTGTAACAAGTGCTTAAAGAAAGCCAAAGTCTGTCCAAACATCCTCAGTGTACTAGTATTTTCATACATCTGTATAGCTTTTATAGTTTAGCCTTTCACTGGTCTTCCCAAAGTATGTGGTAAAGATGATTACTGCTTGCTAATACAGGTACATCATGCATAATGATACTATACAAGGTAGGTCTACCATATGAGGCAGGAGGTAAAAAAGTGACACAACTCGGATTGCTGTGATATTTGTCTGAAGTGGCACACAAATACTGCACCGCATTCTGATCCCATCATTGCCACTAACATACTGTATACTTTGCTACTTATCCAATCACGCAATTAAATTTCCTGAATTGTCACAATGTATGTTTAGAATGATAATTTATGTGATGGGTCTGCTACAAGTCAATGTCAACCACATCAATCAGAACATTGCAATCATAGGAGAAAGCAAATGTACCTTAACATATAAATATCTGCCATTCCAGAAGTCAACCCATCAACCAGCATTGACAAAGCACATAACACTTTGAAGTACAAGAAGGGCACCTCTATATCATCATGTCTCGGACTAAAAAACATGCTGAAAGCTCTAACGGAAAAGCCGAAGCAGCAATTGCGAGCAAGTACAATTGGGACGATGCCGAATCAATTAGTTCTTTCAGCAGCAGCAACTTTGGAATTACCCTTGTAAGTTAATATTCGAGTTTTATGGCGCATGTGGTAAATGCTAACCAGAATGCTTGATATCAAAGAAAGGTAAAACGGTAGACAAAGGTAAACCCGTAGCTATGGAATTCATGCCATCGAGTAAAGAAAATGATGAAATCGCTGACAATGTCTGCAAGATAAGAGGTCATTTGCAAAGACTAATGGAAGCAAGGCAAATTCCTTCAGATCATATCGTGAGTAAGACAACTCCGAATCTGAGCATTGAAGTATGTTAAGACTTTCCGCAAGATGCTTTTCTCAAATTACTTCTATCTAGAAGACCACCATGTCTTTGTTACTAAGTACGCTCAAGGTAGGAGTCTCAATGACTGGCTGGCAAAAAGGAGGGCAGTTTCGCAATTGGACAAGGCTTACATTATATTGTCAGTCCAAGCACCTTCTTCTTGCTTTGGGCACTTGACAAGTTATAAACACAGGAATCTTCTTAAAGCCATACGAGCGTTACATGTGGCAGGCATCATGAATTTAGGCCTTAGGTAACATGCTTTCAGCTTGACATTCATACATATCCTAATATGTTTGTTATAGTCCAAAAAGGGTCTTATTCTTGAAGGAAGCTAACACTTACCAGGGTTCAGAAGTTGGACGCGACCTTGTTATAAGCAACTTCCGAAAGTGAGGCAGTATTATTATTATTTTGTTAGCTACGCTTTTTTGTTGATTATCTACAAGTGCGGCTACTTTTATAAAACAGCAGGATGAGTCGGATGACGAAGCCTTTCGAGGAGATCCAACACTACATATAGAACCTGGTAAATGGTTCGAAGGTGAGGAGTACCTTGCTCCTGAAGTGACGAACGAGGCAAGTTCTATACAGCATGGTGTAATCATCATGTCACCTAAAGTAGATATCTTCGCCGTCGGGTTAGTATTCGCCTTGTGTAAGAAGAACATGCCTACTGAATAATTGCATGAATGTTGTAGGATGATAGCTTGCGACTTGTGCGAAATACACCCACGTGTAGGAGGAAATACTGGACCAGTCACAGAATACGGCTTATATTTAAAAGGGAATGACCGAGAGAAATGGAAGGAACTAACTCAAGAAGGTCAGATAATAGTAATTTACTGAATTTATCCCGTGTTTATGCATGCTACAGGCAAGGATTTATTAAAGCAATTAACACAAGTAGATAGGAGGGAACGAGCAAATGACAAAAAAGCTATGCATCTTGCAAATCTGGTGTGTAGTCACCCGTCTCCGTGTATTGCCACGCTCTAAAGTAAAACAATTATCACGTTCAGTGGGTCGCAAGTCTTTCTCAGCCCCAGTCTCCGAGTCCAACCAGACGCGTCACGCGACACAAGCGTGACTCCACAGCTTCCGTGAAAAGAGCCAGTACAGGAGGAAGTAAGATAAAGTGAGATTCACATTATCCAAGTGAAATAATGATAAGGAGGTAAGGATGCAACAACGACCAAAGGCTGTTCTTTTGGACAATTTTCCATATTTTTAGTTCGTTAGAGAGAGACTACGAAGAATAAATGATAGACAATAGAGCTCATTTTTTAAATTTAAATCCAGACATCCGTCAAATGTAACGTGGATGATTATAATTTAAGAGTACTTGTACAGACGAATGTTGACAAGGCACAGTAGTCCAGCGACACGTTAGAGAAAGAGAGAGAGTCTAAAGACGAAACATGATGTCAGAATCAGATGTAGAGATGTAGATATGTGGCCTCGGCAACATCCGGGATCTGTGCTTGCCATTCAAACCATCACACGCATGAAACAATTTCTTCTCTGAATCTTTGTGTCTTGATTTCTTCTGTTTTTCTTCGCTCCTCTCAAGAAATGTCCATCTCAAGTTTAGACCTGCAAGATATTGACATACTCAGTGACTCATTGAGCCTCATGGGTGAAGACTACGCCGCATCGACGCACGACGATGGAACCGTCCGGTACGGCGAAATCGTCCTCAATATTGCTCCAAAAGTGAGTCTCTAGTTGTTCCTTCCTTGTCAGACGTCTACGACGTGCAAAGTGTCTGGGATCATTGACAAGTTTGCTCAGGAAGGCAAGGTATGTGCGCGCGCGCGTTTCTTCGTCACTTGAGAAGCGTAGAGACAGCGAAGGGTGGCTAAATGATAGCATATTGCGGACACCCTCGTGACATTTCATGTAATAATAGGCTTTAACGCTTCTCGCAGACCAGCTCTTTTCGCCGTCATTGCTCCTCGCAGAGCACATCGAACGAGGCATCATACCATTAGGTGGAAAGACTGGTGCGTATCCACTTTCCTTCACTCACGGCGTTCCTGGCGTCTATCGACTGGTGTCCACTCTTGCCATCTCGGCGCAGCTGTATTTTCCGGTACTGACAGAACCCTCTGCAGCTGTGGAACTCGGGGCTGGTTGTGCTCTCCCCTCCATTCTTGCAGCGACGCTTCCGACTCCACCCGTAGTGGTTGTCATTACCGATTACCCCGATAAAGCACTTCTTGCAAACCTGCGCATTAACTTACATGCAAATGAACGACTGGTAGCACCTGACTGCTCTGTGGTCTGCATAGGACACGAATGGGGAACGGACTGCACACCGGTTCTGCAAGTGCACGTCAATTCTGATCTAGACATATTGTAATTTGACTGTCTCGTCACAGGAATACTCTAAAACTTCATAGCAAATCTTTGCAATCAGGTTTTGACGTGGTACTCCTGTCCGATTTACTCCACTTCCACAATTCGCATCATGCCATCCTCGCTTCCCTTATTGCTCTCCTTTCTCGGACCTCGTCGGCCCGGGCGTATATTGCGTCGGGTACATACACACCTCCCCATGTGTGTGCAAATTTTCTACGGATTGCGGCAGCTGCAGGCTTAGTGCTCACTGAAGGGCACACGGAGGACGAGTGGCTCGGTTCCCGTGAGGTTTGGCGGATGGGAAAACTGAGTACAAATGACCTCGGTGTTAGGAAGGCGATGTGTCGGTGGTGGATCGCTAGATGGGGTGAAAAAATATTAGGAACCTCGAGCTCGCAGAGCTGACAGTTGTATTGTGGTAGCCGGATTGTAGGACGGAAAATAGCGGGATGGAATGCAACAATCGGAATTAAGCAGCAATTAATTGTGTATTATCAAGTGGAGGTTAGTCGTCCTTCAACCTTGCATTCGTGTCTAGGCTGTTTACAGAGTCGCTCAATTATAGTTACGTCTTTCCTCAATCTGCAAGGTTTTGCAAGAAGAATAGACTGATTTTTAGGTTCTGGAATTTCTGATGAAGCGACTTTGAGAGATCGTGCCACATTCGAATGAACCAAGGGAACTTGCAGCAAACTCTCAATATTAATGAATCTTGCGACTCAGTCTAGGATGTTTGCTATACTTGGGCCGGTCTGCAATCGATATGCACTCCAATGGGAGGGTAGGTGGGTCAAACTGACTACCAGGAAGTCATTCAGGCGCACCAGTTCCACACACCCATTTGCCCAAAGTTCGTAACTCACTCCCTCGATGTTCGTCGTATTCCCGCATCGCGACTGAAATACACGCCCGCATTACGGTTCAATACATGGGCCATCACGATCGAGACAATTTTCGGGCTTGCGGGGGTCCTGTGGGTTCAGAGGGTGGCCCAATCATACAGTTCACAGATATAGCACGCGTCGTGAAACGTAATAAGACCTGCAGGCGCGTCTAAGTATTTTTTTTCTTTTCCTCCTTTCGGTGCTTGTCTTTGTAAGGAAGGGTGCAGAAGAGCTCTTTGCGCGCGACTAGATCTCTCGATGTTCTCGGGTTTGCATACTTCGCTTCGTTGTTTGAACTGCATTATGTAGTCTTCTGATCCCCAGTGGGTTGGTGGATCCGTGCGCCGCGTTGCAGGATCGAAGTATAGACATTCACTTCAAGGTGAGAAGACTTGTGTACAGCCGTGTCGTTGGCGCATACATGGGTCTCGAAAGGGCCTGTAATTATGTTTGCCCAGGGGTAATTCTCTTGATAATGGCGAAAGCCCGTTTTTCGTATAAGCTATAAATTTCAGGTAATAAGAGAGATGTCAAGTGCTTGCTATTTCGGAGAGTGAAGTTATTTTTGAGGAACGGGGCCGGGCAGGTATACCGGAAGCTCTGACAAAGCTCTCTAACAGATTAGGCAATTGAGATTCTAAGAGTGATCTTACTCACCCAACCTCTTGCACTTGCATCAATCATCTTGTGAACAGAGAGTGTAGGTCTGTGAAAGCGAGGTCCGAAGTTATGCCGCATTGTTGTGACGTTGCAACGAGGCCGTGAAGCTACATGTCTATGCCACTGAGCAGCTGCCTTTCAGATTGAAACACAGGGCACCTTTATTTCTGTTACTGATTGTCCCACAGACCAAGGTCCAGGAACTCGGTACAGATGTCAGAGAACATTGACTGCCAATATTCCGGTCTAGATTGTAGTGCAAGGTACTTATGTACTAAGCAACGTGCTCATGAACAGGGCTAATTGACAACGAGACAGAGTGCATTTTCGCCTTATTATCAACGGTATGCTGACTGGTAAGCCATCAGTGGGGTTCACAAGGATATCTATCGAAAGGCCTAGCGGGCGAGACTTGCTTTACTTGAAGTGGCGCTAGATCTTGTTTAGTTTCGATTAAATGAGGCCCTGAGATGTTGTTCTAATTTCTTAGTCGACTTTGAGGGCTCACGTACTGTTGCGTTTGAAAGGAGATAATGTCAGAGGGGCGAGTATACATGAAAACGTACATTGCTTGTCAAATTTTCAAACATCTCCAGTGAGGATCCGGACCAATACTGCGAACGAACGAGACTATCGTTACGACTTATTTGTGACTGGTTATAATCAACTGAAAAAGCTCAAGACTAAGGATCTTGGTAACATTATTAAATCACCTACGGGATTCATCAGAAGACATCGGAACACATGTTTACTACTCCAGTATTCTGCTAAAGTATATTCTGGACAATTCATTTTTCACTCATACTTACGAAACAATCGGAACCCGGCAGACTTGAATTAGCCATTTCCCTCATATTGAGAATGATTAACGTTAGCATTCCGGACTCCGAGGATTATAGAACTAGCGAGAATTAGAACAATACAATTTGAGACAGAGAAGATAAGGAGGAATGAGAAATATGTGCGCTAACCTTGAGAATATTCGATGTAATTAAAGCTGCCATCTATCACTCATCAGTCTCCCTGTCCCTTTACCTCAACCAAGTCGTTTTCGAGCCACCGCCTTTCAAGTCCTCGCGCACAAAACGTGTTGTGACGGCATTAAATGAAGGCGTTTTTTCCCCTTCGGATTGCTTCCGCGCCATCGTTTGATGAGAATGCAGCTTACAACAGAAAAGTGACGCTCGCTTGGACATGGGACGTGAGACACGATAAATTTCGCACCTCTATACATCGGCACGTTGTTAGGGCCCATAAAGTACACGAAAGTATTAGACAAGATAACAAATTGCTCGTTTACTGCCTTGGAATATATGTAACGTTCTCGATCAATAATGAAGGTTCGTTCACTTTGTGAGTACATGATTGAATGTCGGGATCGGATGGTCCACAAGAGCGTTTCCACCAGTCGTAAGCAGCCGAAATATTACCGCCGCTTTCCCCCACTCTCCTCCGCCGTTGTATTGACGCACCTCCGGAGTTACTGCTCGAAATATCCCCCGTGCCATAACCTTGACTCTCGACATAAATATTTTCTCTAGAATCCATGTGGTAATTCCGGCCCTTCTACTTTTCACATCGTACGAGAGCGTTGGAGTAGTTAGTAAAGACTAGAATTTAGGGACAACTCATCTGTTTTAGTTTAGAGGAAAAGAGGGTACAAAGGCAATCCAAACGAATTTCAGTCACACTTACTTCATTTGTGTTTGTACTTGTGTACTACGAATCCGGTAGCATCACGGAGTTCTAAACTATTGATGAGCATGCCGATATGCCGGATTGTGTTAAGAATAAGAAACGAAAGAACACTTGCTTAGTGAGCCCTGATCTATTCCAATGAATATTAATTTGATCAGCACTCCCCACATTCTGCCAGTGTTGCGTTTCAGCTAGCAAAATTGTAACTGCGAGAATCATTTCAAAATCTGTGCACTCGATCTGACTTGATCAAATTGTAACATTTGTGCATGCCAATAGTTGCAATGCTACTTGGCAGCATTGCCACAACTGTCACTCGTTTTAATAAATCTCCACGCTCAGCTAGCTCAATTAGGGCTTCAATTGTGTGTAAATGAATGTGTACGTGAGTTAGTCCGACCATGTGTTTGCCCTTTGGACCACGCAGATTTTTACGTCTCATCTCGTCACCATAAAACTGTATTGAGCTGATGCTTTAATGAGGAGGCCTTAGAAAGATCTTTGGAAAGTTACACAACGAGCTAGGTACTGAATTAATATGTGACCCATCAACGTCGTATTAAGGTTACACTGTAATTGAATGCACGTACAGTAGAATATGTTAAGATGCGTGACGTTATGACAAGCAATTTATCAATACATTAGGAACTTTGTGCATCAAGACAATACATTTTAACAGAGGATGGCCACTTGATTCTGAGGAAAAGTCATGCATTATTACATTTATACATTATCACACTATGCATTGTAGCATATTTTACTGTACTGCGCTGTACGTCCCTGATGATACATTTTAGAATGTGAGCCGTCTTAGAAATAAATTCAAATGGAAATAAAGTCTTGCCAACACCGTGGATCTTGTATCAACGTTTCAATACGGCGAAAAGAAGACTCTTCGCAACCATACACAGTATCAAGGCCGCTAAATGAATATCAACACATGCATAAATCCTACGCAGCTCAACTCAAGAGAAAAACGGCTTCAACGCCGCACCCACGCAAACACATAAGTATAAATACAAGCAAACACTACAAAAAAGGAATTTACAGTTTACTGCATTGTGTCCATCAGAAGTAAAGTAAATCTGAGCCCATGCAGCTAACGTCTTTCTCCGCCATCTCCTTGGGTTGGAGCATTGTCCCACATTCTCCTTATACACGCGCTTCATTTCACTTTCGCCGGAGCCGTGGTCTGCCGACCGATGATGATGACCTTCATGCCAAGATACCGAAAGTTTGGATGTCGCTCCCGGTTGGGCCGATGTCACGCGCTATTCGTCGAAGAAGGTTTCCGAATCACTGGAGACGCCAAACGATGTCGATATCATTTGAAATTCCAGACAAGAAGAATTTGAAGGTTTGGAGAGAGTGGGGATGTAAAATTTAGACCAACGACGCGGGGAACCCGGGCATATGGCGCTTCGTTTCGCAAGGCAGGAGAAGGAGACAGGAGAAAGAGACATTACTAAGTTTCTGGTTGCCGTCAATCGTAATGCCCATGAGAATCTGAGATGGATCGTGGGAGGGACAGATAAGTGTAGTTCAGTTCAGATTATCCAAAAGCGTCGCGGAGTTTGAATTGAGTAAGACGAAAATAAATCACATGCTTTGCGGAATCAAATCATTTTTTCCCGCTTCGTGGTTTGTCTCGCTTCATTTTTCTCTTTCGACTATTTTGACGCCACCGGAAATTTCTGTCCTGCGTCAATGCTCACTCTGTGTCTAATTGTCTCAAAAACTATATGCTCTCGGAATACTCGGGTACTAAACCTAATTCTGAATGGGGCCTGCGTTTAGGGGGCCTGCTTCGACGACTCGTCCATTACTGCTGCTTGCCGATTGGATATTCAAAATATTTATAATTACATACGCATGTTTCTTGTGGGGATTGCGAGGGGAAAACGGGTTCTCATGGATGTCATGGGCAGCTCGATTCCCATTCGTTGCATCTGACCAGCCGCGTAGACACGAATGGAGTATTTCTGGGTAGAATGCAGGCCCGGCTCGGACGGGAAACATCTTCTCTGAACTCGGGGACAAATCGAACTTCTCTACAATCGCTCTGGTCCAAATTTCAGGCTCTTGAAGTAATTTGTGCAAGAAATTTCGATTGGACCGTAACTAGGTTTGCAAGGCCTCGATTAATTGAGAAACGCTCCACAATGCTCTGTCGAGCAATATAAAGTGAGTCCCACGAGGCGTCAACGAGAGTCGCTTAGATTCTTAGAAAGATGAAATGATGGACGATAGGGAAAGAGAAAAATCGGCATACTTACGGGTTGACTTGACTCGACTTTGGCTGGAGGTCTCTCTAAATCTGAATGCTTCCGAAAAAAGAGGGGTAATCGAAAAGAAAAAGAAAACAAAGTATCTATTTATTCCATCAAGGAGACTCCGATTCAACGCCCCTTCCTCGGTGGACTGCCGTAAATTATGAAAATCGGATACAGCTTCCGTACACGTAGGCGTCGTCTATTCCTGAGCGCGCGAGAAATTGCATGCGTATTGCGTTAGCATGGTGCCGCTAGCCAGCGCTGGATTCCCGGGCATTGGGTGAGCGACGGGCAGGGACTAAATGTCGGGAATGGCAACGAATATCGAATTATCGAGGTCGATCGCCCTTGTTGATGCCTGGTACCTGTGTCGTGGTGGCTGCATTACACTCTGTTAATGAATGTCTTCTATCTAATATCTGCAAGGATGGACGGATATATGTGGGTTGGGAGCACGTCTGGCTGGCTGTCTTATTACGGGAGTGGATGATTTGGACTGGAGTTTGTAGGATGGATGACAGCATGCTGTGATCTCGTCCCTTGGATATTGGCTAGCGGGAGAAGACGAAGACGAAGGCTGAGGGGTTGAGGATGTGGATCTGTCTGTTCCTAGGCGTCGCGCTGGGCGACTGCACTGCTGTCATGCTCTGAGTCTGCTCACACCAGATTGTAGGAATCATCATGGGAATCACGTACAGATGGCAGTAAGGTTCAGTCGCAAGGGCGTCTTCGTCAGCAGTCACGACGATTCTTGCAGCCTTCGAACAGGTCAACTGAATGCATGTGGATCCGGTTGAGAAGGAGAGACAATTAGAGAATAGGACGTGCGGGATCCCCTTGTGCCTCTTGCCACAGAAAACGTAAAGGATGGGATTGAACCCGGCGGAGACGAGGGGCATGTGTGTGCGAGGATCTGTGGGCATCGACAGCGCCTCGCCTCGTCCATCCTTCTGATTCTTTCTTGCTTCCTTCGTCATTGCGTGCATTATTCTCGTGCATTGCTTTGCATTCAGTCGGGGTGGATATAGAGCAGAGATGTGCCGCGACAGTTGGCATGTAATCCGACGGTTTCGCTCGCCCAAGCATCAGTATCAGCCTCATCGCACTAGTCTCTCTACTGCTCCTGCTAGTGTAACTGTATCCAGAACTCAGAACTCAATCGCGCGTTCCGTCCCGTGCCGGTTGTTCTGGTCTCCCTCAGCTTGCCCCGCAACTTTCTTTTCTCCTCCGGTCATTATTCGCTCGGACGCGCTCATACTGTGCACATCATCCGCTGACCATCGAACAAAATCCAGCATTGACCATCAATTCTTTCATCAGAGTAGCATATACATATCAAATCATAGCGGTCTGCGCGTCTCAGATCCCGCGCCATTCACTGTCCGGTCTCCCGTTCATTCATCCACTCGGTATACCTCGGCATACCTTTACCAAGAACCGCCCGTGTAAATTAGTAGTGCTCTGTGTTTCTTGCGTGTTCCGGTTTTTCCGGGAATTCGTATTCGCGTTTCCTTTTGTTTGGCTTCGAGCGCCCGCAACTCATAAACTGCTCTTATTAATACTTCACTCCTCAGAGGAAAGGAATCCAATTAACATTCTCTCATCTCCCGTTCCCAGACATCCATCCCGACGCTGACAACGTCGACGTGTATGGCACTTGTCTTGTCCACTTCCACCTCAACGACTATGAATTCCGGCAGCTCCGCCTCTCCCTACTGGCCCGACGCGTCATCCGCGTCTAGTGCTGCTCAAACTCACAATCACCACAATCACTCTTATGCCACTGGCAGCCCGTCCAGCGCTGGCGCGCAGTACGGTGCACAGAGTGGCTATAACGGGAGTAGCAATGGTATGTTTATATGTTACTTTAGCGGAAGCAACTTTTTCTCTTCTGTTTTGAACTGATTTGTCAATTTCCTTCCTGTTACGTTAGGGTATTCAGTACACGGTCAGGCGCAACAATCGCCAACGCAGGCGTCGCTTTATCACTCCCAGCAGCACCACGCTCATCGCCCGAGCTTGGGGCTGGCTATAGGCAATAATCGCCAGCAGGGTCCAGGGAGTTCATCCTCGTCGTCATTGCAATATGCACTTCGTCCTCAGACCCAGCACACATCGCTTTCGGCGCACTCGTCGCCCCAAAACCCGGCCCCATCCTCGTTTTCTCCTAGCTCGTCGCTGTCTACGTCACTTTCACTTTCGTCGCTTTCAAGCGCATCTTCGTTGAATTCAAATTTGAACTCAAACGTGGGAGGAGGCGAGATGGCCAATCTCTCACCTATCAGCCCTCACGCGTTCGCCCCTCACCAGTCTCGCGACAGGAGCGGGAGTATGAGCACACACCCGCAGTCACATATTCTCAATCAGCAGAGCCAGGGCCACCATGCTCAAAATCACGTCCACTACCATGTGTATCAGGGGCACGAAGCCCGGACAGCGACTTCTAATCAGACAGCCCACGCAAATATTAATAGCGAGGCGAACTTCGACATAAACTCGTCAAGGCTGTATGCTTTTGACAACAATGGTCACGTATCGTCAACATCTGTCTCTATTGCATCTGTACGTCCTGGTTCTGGATCAGGGTCTAATTCAGGCTCCGGAAGCGTTGGCATGGACTCACCGCGTTCTGGACTTGCAATGCACTACAATCGTTCTACGAACCCACATGCCCATAGCCAGTCGCCGTTTGCCCATACGCACCCACAGCCGCACACAAGACCCCCTTACACAGCGCATACAGGCAGCTACAATTCCCACGATAATCGTAATCCCCAAGCGTACGCCTCAGTACCAAGGACGCATGTAAAGACGGAGCCGGATCTTGAGGAGTCGTGTTCGCTTCACCATCGCGACCCAGCGGCTTCCCCAGAATTATCGAACAATGCCGGAGGGAGCGGAGGAGCACGATTCGTCATGGAACACCCGTACCCGTATCATTATGCCTCACCCTCAGTCCGCGGAAGAGACAACAAACGTAAGTCTGAAGCTGGATTGCGTCAAGGAAGGTCCGTCTCCCCGCTTTCGCCGCAATCTGGCGCTTCGTATCCGCCCACTAGTTCGGCCGAAGGTTTACAATCCCCGCAAGACCTTGGTAGTGTCTCTGCGCAACCAAACTTTCAGGAAAGTCAGCCGCAACATGCCCCGCACTCGCTGACAGCTCCTCTCCGCGCGGTTAATGCTAGCGCACCAATGCGCGCATGCATGGGTGTCTTCCGACTCGATCCCTTCGCGCAACTGAACGGAGTGGCTCTGCGCTGCGGCGGAGGCTTCGTCTCCGACAATGACCCCTTCCTCTCAGGCGACTTCAGTTCAAAGAGATCAAAGGGGAAGTCCAAGAACAAGTCAAAGAAGAAGACCAAGGGGAAAAACAAGAAAAGAAAGCGAAGCAACTCGGACTCTGCTTCTCCTGGACTGGACGACGAAGATGGAGATGAAGACGAAGATGCGGAGGACGAAATTGACGACGCACCGACGTGGGATGGCTTACCTGCTGGACCGTTGACAGAAGAACCTGTTCTTCTAGAGTTCCAGCTGTATTTTGAAGGTATGGAAGTCGAGGGTGAGGATCATCAAGACGTCCCTGCCGTAGCTGTCAACGTCGTCGAGCAAGGTAACGAAGAAGAGTTGGAAGACTTCTTTGATGACTCTGTCGATAGCTACGGGCGCACGTACCTAACGAGGGGACACGAAGAGTCGACCAATAATCGAGTCGAGAGAGAGAGGGAAAGTAGGCTGGACAGGCTGAGCTTACGAGCGATGAATAGGCCCACTGAAGACGCGATGATCAGCCGACGCAATAACACTGCGTATGGCTTGGAAGACCGCAAGTCTGACGTCCAGCATCATGAACATGGGCATGAACGTGTGCAGTCACGCCTTGTACGAGCACGCGCTGCAACGACGGGTGTTCTCGAAGAATATTTGCACCTTAACCTTGATGTGGACTTGGATGGTTGGGTCTCTGCAGGTTTGTGAAATGTTTTTTTCTTTCTTTTTTCCCTTAATTTTCCAATCTCTTTTTTCGTTCTGGGTTTGTGACCGAATCTTACGCAATTTCCTATTATCAATAAAACTCTATTTGTGTCTTGAATATTGGTCTTGGATATTGATGTATTCTTACTGGACGTATAGAACCCTCGCCGACGACGCCGCACCCGCTCTCGCAGACCCACTCGCAGACCAGCTCCACTGCTTTCTCTCAGACACAGCATGGCTCAGCGTATTCGCGGACTCCGGACTCGACCCCAACGCGTATACCCCAATTAGGCGGCAACAACAACAACAACAACAGTACAGCCGATAACAACTCCTCCTCGCCATTCAATAATTTTACGAACACGCATAACATCAATGGCGTTTTTTCTCGGTCACGATACATCGACTCGTCAGGGTATATACGTCTAAGCGATGCGCATGTGCAGATGAGCTCGGGCAATTCTAGTAATGCACCTTCCGGGCAGCCTTCCAACCCAAGTCCTTTTGCGTCTTCTTTCTCAGGAGCGACGGGTACGGGCGCAGTAGCCGCCACACTTCAGCAACTCCGAACACAAGCTGCGTTACGCGCGGTCTCAGCACATACTCAGAATAACTCCCTTCAGGCTTTGTCTAGAGGATATTCAGAAGGTGGGAACGCTCAGCGGGGAAATGGGCCTGCAAACTCAACGACTGCAGGTGGGGCGACTGCGCAACCGGCAGGGGGAGCAGGAGGGGCGGTGAACTTCACTCCAACGCCTGCGAGCGTCGCGGCAGAGATGCAGTCTGGATTACTCGCCTCCAGTCGTTCACACCAACAACAGCAGCAAGCACAGCAACAGCATCAACAACAAGGGTGTAGGATGCGCGCGACATCCGTTTCTCACAGGATTGGAGGGAACAGTAACAATAACAACACCTCCGCTTATTCCTCTTACGCTCCCGCCGGAGGTATCCCTCCCTCTTCCTCATCTGCTTCACGATCTGGGTACGCATACGCGGACTACGTTTCCAACACACCCCCATCAGCTTCCGACACAAATAACAGTCTAGCGGGAGCCCTTACGCTCCCCACCTCCGCCTCTAGCATGAGCCCGAGTCCGCCTCTCCTGACGCACGCACTTAACCAGGGAAGCGGTGTTCGTTCTAGTACGGGCGTGGTCGCAGAAGGAGTGGAAGCTGCTGCATATGGAGCCCCAAGCGCCAACGCGATTGAGAGGAGGTGGAGTGATGCCTTGCAGCAGCGCGTGCATGCATAACGTTTTCTGTTGTTCTTCTCCTCGCCAGTTCGTCCAGGCGCCAACGCCGTCTTGTTGAATGCTGTGCTATTATCTTCTCGTTTTCGTTCGCTTTTACGCTGAAACCAATTACATTCTTTGATACCTGTCTCCGTCCCTTTCATTTGACGTCTTCCTGATCTTTCGATACCAACTCTTCCAACACTTTACTTTTACGTCCGTCTTCTCCCATGGTAAACACTCTCTTCATTCGTGTGCGCTTCTGCCAAATCTTGCTCAGCCGTCAGGCTTGTCCATTCATCTGTCCACTCCCATGGTATAACTAACGTTCTTGTGTTTTGCTTCATGCTTTACTTTTTCTTCCTCTTTGTGCTCCCTGATTCCCCCTATCCCCATCTCTTTCTCATTTCGTGGTGTGCCTCCCGCTCCTTCCGTGTGTTCGTCGTCCCCATGGTTATGTAGCATACGCAGGCTTGCACTTCGTTCTCTACCTTTCTTGGTTTTCTTGTCATTAGTGCTTTCGTTTATCCCAGTCTCTTTCCTTTGGGTCTACTGCATCTCTTCGTTCGTTTTGCTGTGTAGTGCTTGTGCTTATGCCTTTCTTGGTGTATGGATAATTCTGACGTCTCTTATGTTCTGGTGAATGTCTGTTATGATGTTTACAAGTGTACTCTAAACAAACTTCGAAAATTTTCACTTTACGCCTCTCCGAGTTTCAGTTCCCTCAGCTCCTGCTTCGAGATACTTCACAGGGAATGTTGATGATAATGCGATGATCAACAGCACTATCCAAGTCGCCCCCCTCCCCAACTTCTTGCATACGTCAAAACGAGGACTCTCTGTTGTCGTTTTAAAGCACCCATAAATGATCAAGAAATACCTCCGGAGTGTCCCTGCTTAAAGTTGCGATCAAACACTCGAGGGAGATCTCCTCGTTTACGCGGGTAATCACACTGTAGTATGACCACTCCATGCCGACTCGGCAGGAAAGATCTATCTGGTGGAGATGTGGTCAGGTAGTAAAGTGTAATACAGCCTATGGAAACGAGTCGATACATCATACAGGATTGCAGGAATAGGAGTACAGCAACACGTACACGTAAAATCCTGCCAGGCAGGAGGGGTGCATGGGCGGCAGAGCCAGTATGCTCATCCTTTGCTCCATGCCTCCATGCATATCGATACTGAGTATGCCCAGGATGGCCGGGGATCGGAAACGCGGGGTTGCAGACGCTCAAGGAGAACCTTCTTGCGTACAGTACCATACGTACACACCACATCCCGCACTTACGCGCTCATCGAGTAGTCAACGCCGGAACGAGGTCTGAAGAGTGTAGAAATGAAGTGTATTGTATTCCAGAGAGCAAGGGACGCCCTGATACGTACTAGTCGCGATCGCACTTGCAGTGTGGAGGCGATTCATTCAAAACATACACGTATGATTTGAATAACGATGACGAAGTCAATTGGATCGCGTATATTGATCCCTGAATTTCACAAAGTGCGTCAATAAGTCCAGGATGAACTCGTGAGTATACACGCCTGTTTTTGGGCTGTTGAAGGTGCCGTACAGCACGAAGCCTCATTCGAAATTTTCACGGGAAAATTGCCTTGTGACTGTTGTGCGCATATACAATCGAGCAAAATTTGCGTCGGACGTTTAGACAGGTACCGCCGACGCAATCTCGCAAACTGAGACACGGGAACACTCCGAGATCATCGAACCAACAGACGAGCCTTCCAACATGAAGCTGGATAAAAGCGAAAGGCTGTAGCCGGCTTTCTTGCTCATCAATCCACATGCAGACCTAACGAAAGTTTAATGCATGGAAGGCTGATGATATTACTTGGCCCTTGCGCAAGCACCGACACAGGAGGCCCAGGTCACTCGTGACCTCGTTATAGGTAATTGCATCTATGACAGAAACCTTCACAAATTGCTTGTACACCCCTGTCCATGTGGATCACTTCCGGCAAATATCCCTTCCCCTACAACACCTGCTGAGACACGAGCTACAAGGCGTGGTCGGCGAGGTGCAAAGGGACGGAGACGATCAACTCCAGCAATTACACGTATCTTTGTTATCCGTTCTTCAGTAGAACGCCACATCGAAGCTGATTCTGAAGCCCCTACTCGCACAGACCTAGACACGGATAAGCCGGGGATCAGGGTTGGGGATACCACACCCGATGGCTTCTGCTAGGCTCCGCGGGAAGACGGTCAGAGTCCCGCGCATCTTTTCATAAAGAACAGAAGAAAGTTCCATGTGCATATCAGATATTGGCTCAGACTTTAATTTTTGTCTTCGTGCCCTAGCCAAGAACCGAATGCACGGCTTGCAAATAATCAGGAAGAAGTAGCACATTCGTTCTGAAAGCATTAATCTGTGGAGCTTGCCGCAGGGCGCCAGCACAAAGGAACGCAGCTCAGAATCAGCTTAGGCCGCGCGGGATCGAAGAACGACGTAGGCGAAGAGAGACCAGGCCCAAGGCGAAGGGACCCAATAGCATTAAGCTTACGCGTACTCTAATATGTCACTGTGGGGTCGATGGTATCTTGCCAATGGAACACAGGATAGTCGGCACGAGAGTCCGCCGTACGTTAGCTTCCGACTAGGGTAAGGCAAGCTTGTTCACGCTTATGGTACCTATGTTTGAGTATGATTCCCAGGAACACTATACTTAGTCTGAAAGTGGTGGTCCAGTAGGTTTAGTGAGAATCAGCAAGAGCTTATTATCCCGCTTACCCGCTCAACGGCTCGATGCAGAAACGTAAAGGACCGGGCTTGGAAGCTAGGAGTAAAACAGCAAGTCTATACCCGTGCTGAGAAAGGCTTGTAGACGTCCTAAAGGTTTTCGAACATCGAAGGCGGGCTTAGACTTCGACTTCGACCAGAAAGTAGCATCAATCGGAGACTGCACACAGGACCGCGGGACAAGCCAAGAATCGCTCGGAAGATCTGTGTGATTGAGCGGCTAGTGAATAGTCTCATTGCGGCAGCAGTCGGCAGTATCCAAGATATATTTGGTACATTCCTAAAGTCTTCCGCCACGAAGTTTTCTTATTCTGCGGTTATAATAGAGATGAATTGAGTATTGGTAAAAATAGTCATGAGAAAGATCGATATATCGAACAACAACTTGTTGCGTTGCTCTGAATAACTGTCCACGCTACAGGATAGTTTGGACCTTCGTTTCACTTGGAAGAGGATGCGTATAGTTCAAACTCCCAGGGAAGATTACTGCTGTGCTTGTTTTCGTTGAACCAAATCCTCCTTAGCCGACAGTTTGCGTATACCTTCACGTACGTTACTTTACCGAACGCCCCTGATGGTAAAGGTGCCATAGTGCTTCGCCCATCGCGCGAATATCGCCGAGAGAAAGAACGTGCCCTTTCTTCCACGTTCTCACCACTGTTGATAGATCCAGAGTCACTTTCACTTTGCTGAGCGGCAGCGACAACACGGAATTGCTGGGTGAAATATCCTAGGTCAATGGAAATTATCCTCCAGGACGTAAGGATCTGAGAGGTCGGTAGACGCAAGGGAATATGAAGTAGTGGGGGGTTATGATTGGTTTTCAAAGCAGGTTCTTTCTGGATTTCGGCGGAGTAAGTAACGTCTCTAGTTAAGATTGCAAGAACACAAAAAAACTTTGTGAACCAAACTTGTCGTTTTGACCAGACAGTAGTAAATTCTCCAAGAGAATGGGAAGATTTTGACAATAATACTGTGGACTTGCTCTGATGTCAAATTCAGAGAGATGGATAACGTACCTGAAATGTTGAGCATCGAATTACACCTCGTCTGCCCGCCGTGTCCGTAATGCCGACCTCAAAGGCCCATTCACGGCCTAGGGAACGAGCTTGAATATACATCCAAGGAAGCGTCAAGCCGAGCTCCGTTCTCAGTGCCGACGACGACTCTGCCGTACGAAGGGGTGGACAGCGGATAAACGTGGTGCGCAATGTCGGCGATTGGATGTGTAGCACTGTCTGGCACAAAGTCCGTTCACACTCTGTATTCGCACCATTTTCATCATCGTCTTCGCGCTCGGCACCTTGAACTATGGAAGCAGGACAGATAAGCACACCTGGAGCAGGTGGAGCAGGCGTGGACGTCGAGTCATCCAACAATTGAATCAAAGAATCCGACCGGAGTGCCGGAGATGCATCGACATGCTGCGAAAATAGTTGTAACGGAGCACTTCCTGTTGATGAGAACAGCGAAATGATGCTCGGCTGCACGACGTTGGCAAACATTTGTGGCATGAGATGGTGGTCGCGTAATGAGGGCGAGATGCGTGACAGACGCGCGTGGAGCAGTCGCGTTCTAAGCTCCGCTTATAACTACGAATTTCGATACAATATTATGTAATCAGAAGCATATTAAATTTAAATTGGACTTATTGCATAGCAACATTTTCTATATTTATATTTATTACTCATAGTCTTTCTCTGCCCCTGTATACTGTGCTCTTCTGAGACTACTTATAACATTTCTGCAGTTGAAATTGTCTTATTGAATATATATTATATAGAAAATTGCTTATAGTAAATACATAAATACAAGTCAAAATATATTCCTATTTAGTTAATATATTATACCTTGAACTTTGTAATTTTTTGTTAGTACTACAAAATGAAAAGAGAGTCTATAGTATAAAGTGACTACTAACTTATATATTTGTAATAGTATTTTATAATATAGTATATATTATGTATAGTAAAACTTATTACAGCCTTTTTCAAAAGATAAGAGTAAAGAAAGAGTATTAACTGTAACATTATTGACTAACAATAGTTCTCTTATTTTAGCAATACTTTAACTTTTAAAGTAAAACAAAAAAACAAAAAAATAACAATAAGACAATATAATAAACTTGATTGAATGAAAATAGCAAAGTGTAGTATTTAATATTGTATTACAGACACAACACTAATAACAAATAACAAACAACAAATAACACTATTAAGTTGTTAAATTATCAAACAAATGAGACTGAGAGACTGAGAGACTGAGAGAGAATAAACATTTATTAATATTAACAGTGTTTTTTTGTTAACAGAGAGAGGAGTCTTAATATTTCTCAAGAATACAGATTGAGTATAGAGGTATGTGTGTCCACAAGCATTAGAGCACTAAAAAATTAATCTGACAACAAGGAAACAACAAACAAATGTGGGAAAGACAACCACTAAGAGTAAGACTGAACAAACAAAGAAGACCAAGTGAATAAAGAAGGAAAGGAGAAAGGAGAGAAAAGTGTAAACAAGTTAGACAACACACAACGGATGGATCTACGAAATGCAACTTAACAACAATTTTATATGCACGCAGAGTATGCAGTATGCAGCAGAGAGACAGACAGAGAGGAAATGACAGAAATGATGACAACAACAAAACACAAACACAAACACACAAACACACAAACACACAAACACACAAACACACAAACACACACACAAAAGAAGAAAAAAGAAAAGAGAAAGAGAAGACACACAGCCTAACTATGAGGCACGAAAAACAAAAAGAAAAAACAACATTGGTAATGGTAATAGGTAATACAAGACGAGAAAAAAAAATCAATACCAATCAATCATAAATCCCAAGTTAAACATCGGTGAGATCGACAGACAGAGAGAGAGAGAGTGAGAGGAGAGTGAGAGGGAGTAAAAAATATCATGACCCGCTAGCAGTCGAACTATCCCCCACATTACTCTCATATCGTAAAGGTCCCGTAGGGGAGGACGAATTCGACAAGGTCACTCCACTCCTCTGTGCAAGTAACGCACGTAAACCACTCACAGATAACGGACTCGGTCCCGGTGTCTGTGTCTGCATTTGCGTTTGCATTGCAGCGTTCGGATTCGGTATGGAGTTGGGGATAGGGTTATTCGGCAGAGGGCTATTCGGCATTAAACTCGGAGTCCACGAATTCCTATGAAAGCTCTTTTTCTTCCTCACACTCAACTTATACGCCGCACGTATACTCGACTCCGGTTGTCCTCCCATACCCATACCCATACCCGGTACTACGGACGCAGCACTACTATGCGGATACGGCACGCTCGAATGCGTTGCTGCGCCAATACTACTACACGGCGTCCGAGGCGCATATTCAGACCGCGGAGACGTGCTTTCTGACGCAGTCTCGGTCGTTGGTGAGATCTCTGAAGGTAATGGGGATGAGGGACTAGCAGAGTTGAAGGCCGTAGAGATTGACGGTATTGGATGTTGAGGTGAGGATGAGGTGGGGAAAGTGTATGGGCTGTTTGAGAAGGGTGAGGGTGAGGCCGAACGTGATGAAGAGGACGCGGAATTCGCATATCGAACGCCGTTGCTAGTTTCAGCATGGCCATTTGGTCGAACACCGTTCCTATCGGGCGTCGTTTTGATATCATCCACCATCGAGGACTTTCTCCTCAAGGAATCCTGCCCGACCTCACTTCCAAGGACAGAGTCAGAGTCCGCAATCGTATTCGCACGTGACGGGGGAGGAAAGAAATGTGCAGGGAGCGATAAAGGGAAAACAGAGAGGTAATCCTGTGGCTGGGAGGGTGAGATTGAACGATAAGGTACGGGCGGGTAGTTCGGTTCGACGACACGCGCAGCTTCGGCTTTTTGCTTTAACTCCAGAAGTCGCGTACGCCACAACGCACAGTTTGTCGAACACTGGTCGGCAAACTTTTTCATTTCTGTATCCCATCAGTATCAAATAACGAACCGACGTATTCACGATTAGTTGAAACAGCAAGGGTTGGTGTTTGCATGATTAATCACGTCAAAAATTTCCGGGAGGTCATGATGGCCGACGTCGACATTTTCAAGTCGTTAACATCGGAGGAAAAATGAAAATAATTCCGAGAGGCATTAGAACGCGAAATATGACAGCCGCGATTCATAATCTTACCTGGAACGGCCAGAGTAGTAATTTCCAGTAAAGGGGAGCAAAAAAGCGTAATAAAGGAGATCTGGCCATTCGCCTCAATAGTAGGATCGTCGGAGTCCTGCACGGAAACAGGAAGACAGAGCTGACGCTCCAAAACCGCTTGACTCGCCCATTCAGAAGCGAGCGCCGCAGACCAATGTTGGGATACCATGTGAGGTCGGCTCTGTGTAGAATAAGGCCGTTGTCAAATCAAGATATAGGCAATCACGTACCGGATTGCTTATGTCCGCACATTTGATGAGCGCCTGACACAGAAGCGTGCGAGCTTGATTAATGTCGAAATCTTGAGGATGCTCCATAAGACTCGCAAATCGCTTCATGAAAGCCGCATGGACTCCCATGTCAGTTGCGAGTACAGTATCTAGAAGTAACCGTCGAAACTGCGACTGGTTACCTGAAGGAGTCGGATTGAGCAAGTGTGCAAGTCCGTGCCTCTTCATTATCGGCAACAGAAATGCGCAATGCATTTGCTCCAGCGCTGATTTATGGTCGTAAACCTGAGAAAGAGGCGCTTGTGCATTTTTCTGCTCCCAAAAAATGAGCAAAGTGACGTGAGCGCCAGAGTGAAACTGATACATGCCATGAACATGTTGTTGAAGCCTGGGTGGCCTACATCGTGGCCGATAGCTGCGATATATAAAGCGAAGATATCTTCTTTTCGTAGAATCCCTATCCACGTTGCTCTCAGCTCGTCGTGAGCCCTCCAACGACCTCGGGGATCCGATTCTGGCACAAAGAGAAGTGCGACGGGAGGGACTGCACCTGTTTCACGCAAGTACATGTGTGTTGCCTGGAACACGTCAAGAGCATGTTGAAAATTGTGGTAACTGTTCGTCGCACGATACGCTTGTCGTAGATGAAGGAGAAATGCGCTTAATTGACCTGTTTCACGATGTTAGACTCAGGGAAGCCGTGGCAGTCATCACCACCCACCAAGAGTCACTCCGACTACTTCCTGCATGCCTTCTACTCGTAGTAGAGTCTCGAATAGTAATTGCGTACAAGCAAGGACTTCGTCGTCGGGAAGTTTATGCGGCTCGAAGTGCCAATTGTCAAGCGCATAAATTAAACGATGCCGAGTTTCCAAAGAAATAGGAGGGAACGGGCTTGACGCATTTATTCAGTTATCTAAGGTAAATTGCTAGATTCGCAATTTACGACTCACAAAAGTACAGTTTGGTTCACAGCAGTCTGCGTTTGGGTGTACATGTCGCTCAGCAATTCCGCATACCTGAACGTTTCAGATCTTATGATCACACAGACGGCACAATGAATACGCACATCGATCCAGATAGCTCTGATTCCTCCCAGCCTCCCCATCCCTTCCCCATCTCCATATGCTCGTCGCCGAGAGAGGCGGCACCCAGGGCAAGGGCGAGCCCACCGACATCGACGCTCCGTCTCCGACTGTCAAACGGGTGCTCCCGACTGTCGTCTGATACAGAAAGTGACGCGCCATGTCCATGATGGTTAATGCACATCCTCTGGGCTGCCTCCGTCCCTGGTGACAACAACAAATTCAGGCTAGTTGTCGGACTGTTGCTGACAGATTGACTTGTGTGCAGGGTTAGCGCACTCGCGTGGCCCCAATATCGGAGATCGCAATGGTCTCGAGGTGTGCGAGACAAATCAGGCTTATGACAGCAGGAATGCTGGTGCCAGAGGGGGAAAGTTGCTGGGAGAAAAGAGGGCGTCGGAGTCGTTAGAGGCTGAAGGGACGAGAGACGAGAGACGAGACGAGAGAGGCCATGCACTGGCTCTGGTGGGTCAACGCCGTTTCTGGTCTTCTCACGGCCCCACGTGGACTCGATCTTCCCCAGCTTACGTCACTCTCTCCCTCCCTTTGAGGCTGTTCACTGTTTCACTGACAGACAAAGGGCATCGTTTATTTTGCCTATCACTCTGCACATTTCTTGACGTTTACACAATAAGCACGTTGAGCGGCAACGAATTAAAACGATTCCATCGAACAGCGAAGGTCCTGGCAACGTGGCCATCCATGCCACGCGAGTTAATTGAGACCGACGCCCAGAGAACCGATGGATCACACGGGCAACTCAATCTTACACTTTCGGACGGTGTAAAATTTTACCCGCAAGTACCCGACTAAACGTTCACTGTGTTTCAGCAGTTCTCGTGACGGGGCTGTTGCCTCGACAATCGGAATGGCTTGGGAAGATTCGGGCGGAAGAATGGCTTACAGACAATAAATCCCGAAGGCCCTCGTGTTTGGTGGGTACAAAGTAATACACGGATAATACAATGATTAGTCTGATGTGATTCCGAGACGAGGAGGCGGCCTCTCCTCAGCATATTCTGTTAACGATTGACGCGGTTTCCACGGCTTTTCCGCATCGAACTAAATTCACAAACCAGCACGGCAACCAACACAACAAACGTTAATCTTTGAAAAAATACACGTCGCTTCATGCCTTCGATCTTTAATAAAACCCGTTTCAGAAAGACTTGATTGCACACAGGACGATCATATAAATAATATGGTCTAATCTAAAATATCACCGGAATGTCGAATTTTCGTCAAAGTCGGTTGACCACCTCATGATCACGTTGTGAACTGCTGGCTTTACTTCCACCATATTGATTGAATTGCAGGCTTAACTTAGAGATTTTCACTTTTATAGCTACTTCCAATTTACAGAGGTCTGTACAACATTAGTAGGAAATCCACTTTAATGTATTAACAATATGCAAGTGTACAGAATGTCCATTTGAGAAACATAAATGATGGCAATGATTAGTAATTATAATATAACATAATATAATGTGCAAAATGTGCTTACTCTATGTTCTAAAGCTTATTCTAAAACAGACATTCAATTAATCTATAAAAATGCTTCTTACAATGTGTTTGTTATACTTGTGATGAATCTACTGTACTTAGTATTCTTTACATTATTAGTACAGATCTTACTAGTTATCAGGTGTTGTTACATACACATTTAATAAAAAACTAATTATACAGAAAGGATTTCAGTCAAGCAAGCTTTGACATTTATTACAACTCAATCTATTCAGACTGTACACAAATCAAAATGCTTTAACTGTAAATAGAATAGAATATTTTAGTTATTTTTTTGACTTATATGTTAGTAACAGTATAGAGGAGACCTGAAGGCTTAGTAAGGGGACTCAGGCTACAACTATCCTACACAACAGAAATACAGAACACAAGTACTAGAATGTAGTCAGAACTTGCAGAATGGGCAGAAAGAGAGAGTGAGACAAGTGTTGTTACAATTCTCCACTCCTGTACCTTCAGTTCCAAGGGTTCTGCACCCTTCTGTACTAGAACTCAGGACTTCCATCCCTCAGGAGCACTGTCTATAGACTATATGTGTGCTGACTCTTACTACTACCCTTCCTTACTTCATCATTCCATTCCTTTGACTACTCCTTCATTCTCTGTTCATTCTATAGTCTCTTACCCTTTGTCCATCCCTTCATTCTTTGTACCTTTATCTTTGACATTCCTTTCTTTCATTCTTTGTAGCTTATCATTCTTAGTGGCTCATACTCCCTGAGTACTCTTGTGTAGTTTAGTATATATAGGCATACAAGATCAGACTAGTCCTGTAGTCTTGATCTCATCTACTCTAGGTAGTCCTGTACTCTTAGGCTTACTCTATATACTCTACTCTTGTCTCACTCTCTCTCTCTGCCTGTTTTACAAGTTCTGACTACATTCTAGTACTTGTGTTCTGTATTTCTGTTGTGTAGGATAGTTGTAGCCTGAGTCCCCTTGCTGAGCCTTCAGGTCCCCTCTATACTGTTGCTGACATTAGATTAAGACTACCTATTACTACTCTACAACTCTCCTATGTTTTGAGCATTAGTACTTACTATTGTATCAATCTCTTTTCTTTGTCCTAACCCTTTTACATTTTTAAATTTTAAACTTTCTAAACCCTTTTAAACTTTTGCCACCCTTCTTCTATTCATTACCCCTTTTAGTTTAGTACTGATTCCTTTGTAGTATAAACATAGACCCTCCTATACTGACTGTCACCCCTACTGTCCTACCAGATCAGTAGTTACAAGCAGAACTAGCTTAATATGTACAGACCTCTATCTAAGAGGCCTTTACTAACTATATACTCTCAGCCCCTTTAGAACCTGTTCTGATTGTTCTAAAAGTTACAACCTGTTCTAGAAAGAAAGTACATGTAGCCTACCCTTTAGACTTTAATAGGTAGCACTTTGAGAACTTCTAACACTAAGTCAAACTATACATAGCTACTACTTTGACTGATCTATCCTCAGATCTCAATCACATCCTATTTGTCCTCTCCTTCATGAAGGAAGGCAACACAGCCACCTAGGCCCAGAACTGGATTGAAGGCTATTAGATTGGAAGCCTGATCTGACTTTAGAACAATGAGTTGTACTTAGAATTTATAAGGCAGCTCTGTACTTCCTTCATCAATCTGAATAAGAAGCATAATGTACAGAACAAGCTTGTATCTCTGTAACAGGGTAAACATTTTACTAATGCCTTCTTTCAGGAGTTTGATATTCTGGCCCAGAAGGTAGGATTCATGCTTGAGTTTAATAATGTTCTTATTAGAATGCTTGAAAAAGCTCTTCACCTGGAACTGGTTAATAAGATCCTTAGAATAATGTTAGAACTAGTCACCTACACTGAGTAGAAGATACACACTATCTCCTTCAACTAAGCTACAGCTCAAATGTATCAAGTCTGTACAGAATGTCTACACATGTGTCTAGCTCTAACAGTTCTGAGCCCTCAGATTAATCCACCTGTAATTTGTAATCAATCTGTTCTGATAGACATTAGAGAAGCCTAAAAGTAAGGAGTATACTTTGTCTACAGAAAGTCAGGGCACTAGATTAAGGACTGCTTACAGAAGTAACAGTATATCTGTCAGGTCATTAGAGCAATAATGAGTAACAAGCAGGATTTGTAGTAAGAAGCCTTTTCTACAAATTCAGAAGTCACCTTAGAACTTCTAAACCCTAACTACATACTTTAGGATTTTGTAGAGGCCTAACAGTAAATGTGACACTGAAGGGCTATGACTCAGATTTTTTAACAGTCACTTTTGATTCAATAGACACTGTAGGATTAAAAGTAAATAAAGTAAGAAAAGTAGAAAAAGTAGGAAAAGTAGAAAAAATAAATCAACAAAATTATTTATTAGAAAGAAAAAAGTTGAAAACAAAAGTAGATAGTTCTCCTATTTCTTCTGATTCTTTTGATTCTTCTCTTCACACTTTATCTGAGTCTAAATCTACACAATCCAACCTGCCCCTTCTACATTCTAAGATCTTAGAATGTTTAGAACACTACCCAGCCCTGTTCACTACTTAGTAGTTTGTCCATAGTATCAAGTAGGGATAGTCTCAGCTGAGTTCACAACTGAGGACATAAGTCTATCCTTGTTGAAAGAGAGAGGTTAATGAGGAAATGTTAGTACATATACTTACCCTCTTAGACAACAAGACTGTACAAGCTGTACATTCCCTTTAGAACAAGTAGTAGTTCATCCAAGGATGTTCTGAGCACTAGCTCTAAGTTCCTGTCCTCTTAGCTCTCTTCTCAGGATCCTCTCAGATCTGAACAACAGTTCTGGTAGATAGTAAATACACTAGTTTGTACATTAATAAGGCCTTTGTGTAGAAACACTACCTTCTTACTTAACATGTTTTACTCCTAATTCTAGTATACAATGTAGATAGAACTCTGAACTGGAATGGTTGGATTACTGAGTTTGTCCAACTACAGATGACTATTTAGAATCATAAGGAAAGTATTGAGTTCAGAGTCACTAACCTTAGAAAGACAGATGTCTTTATTAGATTCAAATGGCTTAAGGCTCACAACCCTACTATTGACTAGTTAGAGTAGACACTTGTGTTTAATTAGTGTCCCAAGTCTTACAACTACCTTATACTACTGTTCTGAGTAGATACAGACACTTTTAATGTTACTAACAGTTCTAATGAAGGTGACCAGTTGTTCTTCTTCAACTAGGATAAATATGTGGATACATATTCTAGTTAAGACAGAACAGAGTTAATCTGAAAGATGTTTAAGACAGAACCAGTCTAGAACCCTCTCAGAACAACTCTACTCTAGAATGTATATAGACTTAACTTACTAGATTTTGTCTAAGAGTTCCTTAAAGTCTTTAGTAAAGAGGAATTTGACCAGCTTCCTAAACACTGTCTCTAGGACTATACAATTGAATTGACTAAGAGTTTCTAACCTAAGGATTATAAGGTCTACCTATTCAACAGAGACAAGTAGGAGGTGCTCAACAAGTTCCTTTAGGAAAATCTTCAGAACAGCTAGATCCAACCCTTAAAGTCCTCTATAGCCTCCCCTTTCTTCTTTGTCAAAAAGAAAGATAGGAAGCTTTACTCAGTCTAGGATTATTGTTGTCTTAATAAGGGTACTGTTAAAAACAAGTACCTACTCCTCCTAATTCAGGAGCTCATTAATAAGATGTATACATTTAGGGTTTTCACTAAGTTGGACATTTGATAAGAGTATAATAATATTTGGATCTAAGACAGAGATGAGTAGAAGGCTGTGTTCCAAACTAATTACAGATTGTACAAACTGACTATAATGTTCTTTAGACTAACTAACTTACTTATAATGTTCTAGTTATT